CTACATTCCTTTGAAGGGTAGAGTTGAAGGCAAAGGAGTAGGGCCAAACTAACAAAAGTACCAGTAGCTGAAAGCTGTTACTGCATGTAAAGCATTTCAACAGAGGTCATTTAGCAGTGACCTTGCAACTTCTTAGAATGGAGGAAAAGCTGGAAAACTACTAAACCATTGGTGATCAAATGAAAGACGGTAGGGTCAACAGAAGGGGGCATAGTCACCTGGGTAAACTTCCAGGGCTGGAGACCACAGCTGGGTCTGAGGTTCTGTACCACTGTTCCAAAAGACGTGTGAAAGCTTTAGAAATCACAAGATCATTGCATAGTGTTGGGAAAGGGCCATTGTGACTTAATTCTTAGTTAAACAATGCAATTCCATACTCAGATGTCTACTCAGAAGTAAATCCTGATGGATTTAGGTTTGGGGAGACTTACTCTTGGGTAAGATTGCATAGGATTGTATCTAAATATTTCACACATCCTGCCATCACTTTTTCTAGTTTAGCTAGCAACTGCAAATTTATAAATTTAGTTTAAAATATTTAAAAAGAAAGCCGAGGATCATATTCTGTCCCTAGCCAGAACCATCTAAAATACAGAGTTTATATGAACATGTAAAGATATATTTCAGCTCTTATAGATCCATTACAATTGTATTGTTTTAAGTTTTGTATTTAAATTAATAAAATAATACTATACTAAATTTGCTGGGTTCAGTTTCGCTGCTGGCTGAATTTTCTATTTTTTCATATTTTTATTTGGACTGATGGCAATTTAGGCAGCTGCAACATTTTAATTCTTTCAGGTCCAGTGGTGACTGCTGAACAATGATTCTGGGACCTCTGTGCATAGTCGACGCTCATCAACACAAAGATGTTGGTGACTCGCAAAAATACTAGGCTGAAGCATTTGTGGGGCGGGGGGGTGACTATGACTGCTCCATAAGAAATGTCTGGAAAATGGTTTTTGTCTACCTGGGAACATATGCTGGAAAGGTGATGAGCAAACAAACTTTTCTACAGGTGTCCAGGAATGCGAGGTGTGAATCCAACATTGTAATAAAGGTGCCTCCACTGTTAGCAAACAGGAATAATTCACTGTTCATAAGAACACAAAGGAGGATACGATGGTAAAGACTGGATTTATTTGGAACACGTTAGTGTAAGCATCTTGGGAAGTACCTAATGCTATCACTTGCGTGGTCATCTGTCCTGAAGCTGTCAGAACACAAGCAATTGCACTGCAGAAAGTATTCTGGTCAAAAAATGAAATAAATTAACTATTTGGGGCAACTGAGGGACATTGTAGACACTGATGGCTTAGTAATACTATACACACATTAGGCCGATATAGACATCCTCTGCATTATGTGTGGCATGTGTCCATCACTGGCTATAGTAAGCAACATCAGAGCCAATAAACATTCCTATCATTCATCCAGTTCCCACATGGCTTCCACATCTTTTTTCTGATGGTAAGGTAAGAGCAGGAGTACTGCCCTTGCTGCTTTATGTGTCTTTGTCTTGTACTGGTTCCTGTTGGTGTTATTTCTCTTGTGTTATGGATTGTGCATAGTCTTGAGACTCAGCCTTAAACTGAGCATGCAGCCCAAGCCTGTGCCTGTGCACTTGGAAGAAGATCCTACCATGCTCAGTGGAACTTAGTGCCAGGTAAGTGTGTACAGGATCGCAATCTGTCACCTTTCACTTTTTTGCATTAGTAACACACGCAATCAATGCACTTGATAGAAAACGAAGCTTTGGAACACTAGTAGGATGAGACCAAAATCTGCTCTTGCAGTTAGCAGTGTTCAGAGCAAATTCCTTTTCATTATGAAATTCAGTCTTTTCATTTTCTCTGATTCAGGTAGCTCCCACTGATTTGTACAGGACTACAATGAAGAGGAGCAGTGCCTGAACCCTGTTGTCAGGTGCAGAGACAAATTTGATGCTTATCCATGCCATAACTGCCTTGTGGGGTAGGCCAGTAGTGCATGCCACTATCTGATTGATAGAATGCTGCCAGCAAAGCCCTTCCCCTATCCAGGGTAGGGGAATCACAGAGCTATGAGCTAGTTGGATGAAATAGCAACCACCTGAGCCTGCTTTCCTTTTATTTATCTGTGGGCAATCAGGTAGGTGAACTAAATGACCATAAACATGGGAAGCAGGGAAGAGAAGCCTCTCTTGATATTGCCAGAACCTCTCACTGAAACTGTAGGTCCAAATGGAAAGAAGATTTAAGAATGGACTATAATAAAAAGGAAAGCTGGTAAGATACTTGAAAATAAGCAAGGTAAAAGCTTGTAAAACGCAAAAGATTTGCACTGCAGAGGTTTCAACCTGGAAAGTTTCAACTTGCATGGCATCCTGGGGTGGTCAACCAAGTGATGGATCAGTGTGACAAAGGAATAAACCAGTTTTATTATGTCTGGTGGGGTACTGCAGGGGTGACTGTCCTGTAAACTTCATCAATATGAGGAGTGTCATATAAACAGAAAAATCCTGTTTTCACCTTTTAGGTCTAGAAGGTAGACTATCAAAGCGTAAAATTAAAAGGAGATAGAGTTAGCTGTCTCTAGCAGATGGGAGACATCAAAATGTTTCCTGTTGTGCTGGATTTTGCAGATACCATAAGCATTTCACTAGAACTCATGATTTGCTTTGAAAAACATCAACTAGAAATAAGGATCTTATGTTAATGTTATTATTTAGTCCACTCATTTATATATCACTCAATTGATGTGCCTAAAAAGCTTTGCCATTTATTAATAAGATACCTGAAACATCCATTTGTCTAGTTTTATTAAGATTTCAGCATGTAGTAGTCAAATCAGTTGTACTTAAGTGCCTTTGCCCGGATCTCATTACTTCTATGTTTGCATTTACTCTCAAGATATTTAAAGTTTACAGTACTTTTTGGGCAGGTGCAGCATAATATGGACATTTTTTATCTCCACAAGATGTTTGCTACTTTATTTTAGACCAAATTTGCAAACTTTGCAGAATGAGTGTGTGAATTGATGACTGGCGTTTGAGGATGGGAATTAATCCTTATTTAGATAGTTGCCTTCTGCTTCTACCTTCTGTTCAGTGTCATCTCTCTCCAAGTGCTGCAACTAAATATTTCATAGTCTGCTTAGGATTGTCAAGGCATTTCCAGTGTGTCCTTTTGATGCTCTGGGTAAAGTGTGATGATGGGTTTCTTGCAGGTGATATTGCACTGACTTTTGCTGCCTCTGGAGCCTATCTTGTTTCTCATCTGATTCTTTTTTTGCAGTATGATGGTTTCTTTTCTGGTCACAAAGAAGAAAAACCACTAGTGATTGACTGACACATGCATTTCACAGTGGCTTTTGCTTCAGCTCTGGAAAGCTTCATAGAATTATCATCATCAATATTAACATTTCTGAATGTCATTAAAAACCCAATCTTTGCCCTGAGAGAGAATAAAGATACTCTCATGTATCACTGCCACTGACACCAGATTGCAATTTGCAGAAGCCCTTGGGCCATATTCCTTTGAAGGTGGGGCCAAAATAATCAGCAGCTTCTAATTTCAAGCTCTTCACTACTGTAACTAGGGCTTACAAAAAGATTCAACTTTTAAGAAGGTAAGGGCAGAAATAAAAGCTGGAAAACCACCAAAACATGTTAGCTTGAGGGACAGCAGAAAGGGTGGGGCTGCCAGAGTTATGGATTGGGGGGGGGGCAAATGGGCCACATTTGAGATCAATACCCCTGAGTTTCAACAGCTTTGCTAGTTAATAGTGACTAGCTCTTTTCACAAGGGTAACATTGGCTGTCTTGCCACTCCAGTCCTGAAGTACCACAAAATTCTGTGTATCTGTAATATTTATATTTTGGTGCCTGCATTACTTGTTCCTGAAGTTAATCACCCATACTCAATATCATATAACTAATAAAGTATTCATTTAGTTTTCTTCTGAGAGAGTGAAAGAAACGGGTGTTTTTAATATAGGAAGAAGTTTACATTAATAACATTTCAAACGCCCACAAAAGAGATACATGTAGCACTGAGGTTCTGGTTCGATGTTTACTCAAAATAACAAGTCCGGGGTTTATTACCTTCTGGTAAATTGTACAGAAATGTAGCCTTATCTCTCTCTTATTTTAGTGGCTTCTACAGCCTCAGACTGTGGCCTGCTTGAGCCTCTGAAGAGAAAATTGTTTGGCTGGGATTCAGAAAGCACTCTCTGTGCTGCAGCAAGGTTTTGATGTAGTTTTCCTGTTTCGATGGTTCATTCCTTTTGCCCTGATATTTTTGGTGTATAAATTCCATAAAGGTCCTTGTGATAGTCTGTTATAGCAAATATCATAAAGAAGGTTGTAGTAGCTGAAATGACTGTGTGGCATAAGAATTTTTGGATTTCAGCCCATCTCAGCCAATGCATGCAACTCTCTCCTCCACGGGCTTTTCTACACAGACTAGCGGCCCTTTAAACCAGTCTTTTACAGTTCCTCACCCTTCCCTAAAATCCAGGAAACTGATGCCATTCATACAGTATAAATGTCTGCATATTTACTCAGAAGCCCCTTTCTAATTAAGGGGGCTCTTTCCAGATTAATGTATAGCTCTAGGTACACTTTTTTGGGATTAAGTTTTGATGAACATCGCTTTATTTTTGAATAAACATTTAGTATTGCACTAATTTATTAGGTCCTGGAACTGCGGTTACCCATTTGGGGTAGAAATTCAAAAGCCACAATAAAATGCTTATTTATTTGGACGACGTAACGTCTCACAAAATACAAAGTTTTGTGTGTCTTGTATATACAGTGAATTACTAGAAACATGTTACCCTCGAGAAGGAGAAGGGTTGATAGTCCGCCTAGCTCCGTCCTTGGCGCCAAACAAACAATTGCAGTGCAAGCTTGGGGGGGGGGGTGAACAACCATAGCAACCACCAGCCAATCATGAAGCACATGTCTATCACGTGGCTCTCCCGGTCCGTGCTGCGGAGAGGGCTCCTTCTCTTCCTCTTGAACTTTCACCCCAAGATGGCGGCGCCCGTCGGTCCATTGAAGTTTTGGAAACCAGGTAAGGAATGAATCATTTGGGAAAGGTGTGAATAAAAGAGCCTGGGGAAGCGTCAGGAGTGAGAAATGGTGGTGGGAGGTTTTGCTTTTCTTTTCTTCATCGGTTAGAAGCGGTTTGTTCCATGCTGCCGGATGACTGAGGGGCGGGGTCCGGCGTATGAAGAAGCTGTGACCGGTGGTGTTTTCTAGTGGAGGTCGGAAAGGACCTGCTTTTTCCTCTGACGCTACAAGCGAAAGCGTCACCAAGACATATTTGCCGGCTGATTTATTAAATAAGTAATAAAGGATGTAAAGGATTAAGGTAACCTGGATCCATGTTGACAGCCGTCACCTTAACGTTGGTTAGGACAACCACTTTGTACCCGCTCAAGAGCGTCTTCTATTTTACCATTATTACACCTGCTGCTGTTTGAGAAGAAATATTTGAGAAGTGCGTTGTAATCTTGTAAATAAAGATTAATGCTTCTCAATATTTGCAATCCCAGTGGCTTTAAAAACAAACTAAAAAAGTGAGGGATTCTGCACTGGAACTGCATTCCAGTTGAGAAATTATTGAAGGATGGCTTAACACAGCAAGTTTAACATAGCTGCTTGGTAGTTCTAGTCTAAGCTTTCTAAGTTTTGAGTACACAGAGCAGAAAGTCAGCTGAGTGGGTGGTAGTCATAAGCATCCTTGCTTCCAAAGTGGCACTAATATGAGAATTACATGCAAGTCATATTGGAATTTAATTACATGTAAACTGAAATAAGTTTCACTGATTTCATCAGTTCTTTTACTAATGGAAACTTTCCCATCAGTAGTTCATGAAATTTTAAAAAAAGATTGTATTGCTTATTTTGATTTACTTCTAATGTCAGCCCAATGACTTGAACAAATAGAAAAAGTGTATGCAGTATATTGTATTTTTGTGTAGAGCTGTAATAACAGCATGGACTATTTTATTTTATTGCTCTAGATCACTCTTCTTAAACCTGGTACCTTCTAGCTGTTTTGGGTTTAAGTTCCCTGGCCAACATGGCTTATGGTCAGAAATGCTGGAGCTCAAAAGAGCTTGGGAGTACCAAGTTGGGGAATGCAAATCTAGGAAGTTATGTTTAGAATCTAAATTAAAATAAGCATTTAGATTTAAGGTCAACTGGAGATTATTGAGGAAAGTTTGCATGTGAGAAAAGAAAGCAACAAGGTCAACAGTATTTTCTGTGGTGAAATGAGATCTTTTATTCATTAGCTCTCTGCTTATGAAACAATATACTTACTGTTGAGGTAGCAATGTTTCTGCAGCGTTAAGCACTTTGTGCACTACCTCTTTGATATTTGCATGTTGCTTTTGAGGTGATTGATCTGGTGTGAAGGACAATTAATGCGGTTTTTCTCTGTGAGCATGAAATTTTATAGGGCTATTAATATATAATTGAATTAAATCATTGCACATTTTTAGGTCTGGACCAAATCTCCATAACAGTTCAAGAACACTGTTTGCAGCAGTACTTCACCTTACTATTATTTGTGTATAGTCACAGGTTGTTGTTGGCACTTGTTTCAAGTTGCAAAAGGGTATAAATATTGGAATGCATTCACTATTGTTGTTGTTCAGCTGTTCAGTTGTTTCTCACTGAAGGCATTCACTAATAACAATCTTGAAAAATACATTGTAATATCTTGTAAATACTTGTTTGGTGTTACTGACTGTCCCTATACAATAACTCCTGTGTAGATTTCCCCTCCATCAGTCCCAGTTCCCAGTAGGGACTGAATATTCAAAATAGCTAGCAGTATGTCCCAAACCCATCTGTGGCTTAAAGAAGACATGGTAAGGTACAATATTATGGGAACCAGTTTGCTGTGTTAGTTAAATGCTATTGGCCTCAATTTATAGCTATTTAATCTTGCTTACCTATGGTGCAACTTTCTTCAGCATAGGAATAAACTGTAGGCCAAGCTGTTAAATTTGGTCAGGTCACAGATTTTAGATTCCAGATGTTTATAGCTAATAAACAATGTCAGTTGTAAATTATCTATGCATCATCTCAAAAGAAGCTAAGTTGTCAATTATTCCTTCTCTTTTACCAACTAAGAATTGTTGGCTGTGTGAAATGCTGTTATCTTTAGGACTATTCAGATGGGGCAATATTCTTTGCAAATTTTCTGTTTTTAAGCTATTAACATGGGTTGGCAATCTTTGACTCTATAGATGATGTTGGACTTCAACTTTGATCATTCCTGGCCATCCCTTACTGGCTGAAGTTGATGGAAGTTGGTCTAGCAGCAACTTCAGGACTCCATGTTCCTGCATTAATGTTTTTTCACCAATCTATACATGCTAGGAGCCAGGTGGCCACATTTTGTTTTCAGACCATTTTCAAAAGCAGTCCCATGTAGAATGCATTTTAGTAGTCCAGTCTAGATATCAACAAGGCAAGAATGACAGTAACTGGGTCTCCATATTCCAGTGGATTCAGCTGGTAGGCCAAGTGAAGCATCATTATGTATTGCAGCTTCAAAACAGATTGTGGGAATTCAGTAGCAATAAGCACACTGGATCAAAAACCTAGGATTATGTGTTTTCTCTCTCTCCATGGGTGTGGTGCCTTTAATCTTGTATACTGTCTGGGTATGTTTTATATGACAGGAAGTATTTTTTAAATAACATACACATGATTATACTGCTTATACTGTTTAAAAATTTGTAATGAATACTAAACTTTTCAGTCTGAAATAAATTGAAGTCTGTAGTTGTTTTCTTGTTCAGAGACTGCTAGCATGTTTCCTGCAAACTGAAGGGCATCCCAGTGAACCTGCTTATGGGAAACTGCAAGTTATGCATATCCATAATGAGGTTTTGTTCTTGTCCTTGTAGCATTGTATGGTTCAGCATTTACAGCACTCGGTAATGTTAGTAACACGCAACAGCCTACAATGGTTTATTTTTGTTTTTAAATGAATTTGTACCAAATTTTTATGAACATCATATTTTTAGTTGCAGGTAAGCTTACAAAAGATCTGCCTGCAAGATAGTTTCTTATACTATAAAAATATTATTACATAAAGATATTGGTTCAGATAAAACAATTTCTTTGTGATTAATTTTAAGTCATCATCCTAATAATACTGATTTTTATATTTATTGATTTGTTTATTCATCGATTTGGTCATATAGGCACAGAAGGGCCTGGTGTCAGCCTCTCAGAGGAGAGACAGAGTGCTGCTGAAAGTGCTAGCGTTTCAGTCATCTATAACCCCTATGTTTCCCTTTCTATTGAACAACAGAGACAAAAGTTACCAGTTTTTAAGGTATACATTTCTTTTGATAATCAGATTTTAAAATTCTGAATATAATCTACTATACATTTTATCACTTCAACTTTTAAAGTTGCTTTGCATTATGTAAAATGATAATATGTAGAAAAGAAAAGTCTCATTTTTTTGTTAACCTATGATGAAATTATTTCAGGATGTTTCATTTTGGGTAACTTGGGCAGTAATCCTGTTTGTTCAGACAGAAAAAAGTCTTGGCTGGCTAAGGAATTCTGGGACTTGTAGGATTTTTTCATGTTTAAACTTGTGTAGAGAAAATTTTGAATAGATACAATCCATCCATAGATTTAGGTATGTGTGGAATTCAGTGGGTTTAAGATCTCTGTGCAAGATTGTGGTCTGGTGTAGATGTATGTTTATTTTGTCATCCACTTGAATTTTATTGTTTTGCTATAATGATGTATTTTTATTATGCTATTAGCATCGTATTTTTAACTGGAAATCATCTTAGCACATGTTTAAGAAACAGAATGCATAAATATATCAGTTAGCTCAAGTATATATTACTATACTGTTTTCACTGACAATTTGCTTCCCTAATTTCTGTATTAAACTTATTTTGCATATTGCTATAAATCACATTTGAATACTCATTTTTTAGCTTAGAAATCACATCCTTTATCTGGTAGAGAACTATCAGACACTGGTGATTGTTGGAGAAACAGGATGTGGGAAAAGCACTCAAATTCCCCAAGTGAGTATAAAATAATTTTTATTTACTTATCTATTAAAGCAATTTATATCTTGCTGTTCAGTCAAATTCTGAGGATGGCTTGCAAGATTTAAGAATATTACAAAACTGCCTAAATAAAACAATATATAGTAAAAACATCAGACCTTCCGCAAGACTGAAAACAAATCAAATCGAGTTATAAGGCCTGAGAAAATCAAAAGGCCTTCACTAGGTGTCAAGGGGCTTCCTTGGGGAATAGCATTCTACAGTCAGGTGGCACCTGTGAGAAGGCTTTTTCTCTTGTCATAACTTAGATGGCAGGGGAACTTGAGGGGGACATCTGATAGAAATCTTAGTATACAAACTGGAACATATGAAAGTAGACATTTCTTCAGGTATCCCAGTCCCAGGCTGTGTCCTAAATGTAATATATCCATAGAGCAAATTAGGCCCATGGTTCAACTGAAGTTAATCTCATTTAAGTCAGAATGATTTTAGTTGAAGTTAGATCTGTGCTTATCTCTCTTTTACTCTAATTAGCAGGCCTTAAAATTTGTAATTTAGGCTGCATCTTAGGTCATAAATGCGGGATGGCTTTCATAGTGTGGGATGCAGACTTAACCGCTCTTTTTATCTGAAATCATTAAGGATTTAGTCATTACTGATTTGTCCGTGGATTTCAGTTAGTCTGCTGTAAGGTAGACAATCTATTCTACTCAATATATTTTTGGCAGAGCTATAGACTTAACAACAAATAAAAACTTATTTTTATGTGCCATCAGGTTGTCTCTGACTTATGGCAACCCTATGAATGAAAGCCCTCCAAAATGTCCTGTCCATGACATCCCTACTTAGCTGTTCTGAATTCAAGGCTGTGGCTTTTATGGATTCAATCCATCTCTGATTTCATCTTTCATTTTAATTTATTATGTTTGGAAATGGTTACAATGACTCTGTTTGCATTATCACTACTTATGTAAGCCACAATGGATTGAGGTCCATAAGAAAAGCCATGTAGGATCGCATCAGTGGTCCATCCAGCCCAGCACTTAATTCACACAGTGCCTACAGGATCCCTCAAGCAGATGGATAGAAGAGTTCCACCTGCCAAACTCCTCAACTGGTAAATGCAGGCACCACTTCTGATAATGAAGAGAGCACACAACCAACAAGCCTCGCAGCCACTGATAGCCTTCTCTTCCAGAAATTCATCTGATCCCCTTTTAAAGTCATCCAAATTGATAGCTGTCACTTCTATTGGCGTTGAATTCCATAGTTTAATTATGCATTGTGTGAAGAACAACAACTTGACTTTATCTGTTCTGAATCTCTCACCAGTCAGCTTCATGGGATGACCCTGGGTTCTAGTATTATGGGAGAGGAAGAAAAATGTTTCCCTCTCTAGTTTTTTCACACCATGCATGATCTTAAATCCCTCTAAGAGGTCTCTCCTTACTTGCCTCTTTTCTAAGATGAACATTCCCACTTGTTCTAACTTCCTCATAGGTGAATTATTTCTACCCTTGTTCATTTTAGTTGCCCTTTTCTGCACTTTTTCTATCTCAGTAATGTCTGTTTTCAGAACTATACACAATATTCTAAGTGTGATTGAGCCAATACTTTATGAACATTGTTGGGGTTCGGTGGTTTATCATATAATCTGAGCCAGGGTGACAGGTGCTGTTTGAGAGTCAACCTTGAACAACTTTACAGGGTTAAATATTCAGAATGGTTTCTAGTACATGCTGCAACCCACTGTGACTTAACATATGCTGCATTGATTGTGCAAATTAGCCTTTGAATCTATGGTTAACTATGTATTTGTCCTTTTCCAGGGAATACGAGTTATCCTTCAATAGCATTTTATTTCAGTGGAAATACTTTTTAAATTGTGCTTATTTTTATTTTCACTTTTAGTAACTTTCATGGTCTTCTCCTGCTCCAACTCTTAGCAATATCAATTTCACAAAAATAATTCTGTTGAATTGAGATTTAACACTTAAAGTATGGACTTCCATTTGAGAAGCTCTGAGCAGTGGGAGACCTTGTCAGAGCAAATTTTCAAGGTGCAAATGGGACTGCAGGGAGAGAAGCGAACTGGGAAAACAATCTCCTCCCATGTTTTGCTAGCAGAAATGTTCTTCTAGAATATAAGCCTTCTCTAATGGAAGGGGGGCTTCCATTCTTGAGAGGCAAGGTTTCATCCATGAGACTGGTTGGACTGAGAATGGTAACTGCCCCAGTGTGAGATAATTGTATGATGATGGGAGAAAATGGCTTTTTTTCTCTAAAGCCAGTTGCTTTTTTTCTTGTGGTTGTGTTTAAAATCATTAATAATATCAGTAGGGAAACTGCAGAATCAAATAAACATAGTTGACTGCATTAATTTTGCTAGTTCATTAAATATTTCCTATGTTGGATAAATGGAAATGGAGGAGAGAAAAGAAGAATGAACATTGCTAAAAAGAGATTCACTTAGTATATTTCTACTGCCTCTCATTATACATTCCTCTTGCTTATAGTATTTAACAGAAGCTGGCTGGACTGCCGAAGGACGAGTGGTAGGAGTAACACAGCCTCGCAGAGTTGCTTGTGTTTCAGTAAGTCTTCCTTGTTCATTCTTAATGCAATATGTTTACATATATATTTTGTATATGTATTTTGGAGACCATGATACATGTTTTAAGATTTGTATAAGATCTGACATTGTCATCAAATTTGATGAGTTTTTGGCATAGTTAAGCATTTTTCAGTCTCATTAAGATCCATGTGGTGAGAGGACTGGAACTGGGTTATGGAGCTGATTGACTTTTGGCATAGAGTATGACAGGTGAAGACCTGCTTGATTGAATGTGGCTGTAGTGTCACTTATGAAATGGGATGCAAGACCCTTTTTGCGTGATACGAGTAGCAATGTAAAATGTCCAAAAATATTGAAGCAATGAAATAACCCTTTTTTGCCCCTTTTTTTCTTGATGGGTGGACAAATTTGGGGGAAGATAAGCAGTACTTTTTGGGTAAACATTCTTAACAGATCTAACGGCACTTTGATGCTTGAGGACAGACTTTCCATAGCCTTCTGGTTATTTTGCACACCAACATCAGTCTCAGACAGCATAGCCAGTGGTCAGGAATATTGGACACTTCGCTCCAAAGCATCTGGAAGGCACCAGGTTGGGGAAGGTTGCTTTAGGAACATGAAGCAGCCTTTATGTTCTAAAGTTATGCTATGTATAATTTGGTTTGCTCATAAAGTAATATTTACATTTAAAAACTTTAAACAATACAAGCATCCCGTGAAGGCAGGAAGAGGGCAAAGGTGAAGGTCTTAGGTGGTAATTTCAAGCATTTACATGTTCAGGCTCAAATCTGGCAGGAAGGTGAGCTGCTGCCAAGATACTGCATATGCTGGTAGTGCCTGTCCCCTCCCCTCCCCTCCCCTCCCTCTCCTCTGCTTCCAAGTCACTCTTGTGACCTTGGAACTGCAGACAATGCAGTTCTTCCTGTGCTGGCTGTGAGGGCAGGGGGAAAATTTTCTGAGAGCAGAACTGGAAGTCTGAAAAATCCTGTGTCTATTTAGACTCTGTCTAACAGTCATAGGATTGCACTGCCCTTAGTAGATTCATAATTGTCTAGATACCCTATACTTTTACAGTGAATATAGCAAACATATTTATGAGTAAATGAAGCTATGCATCACATATTTTAGATCCCTATTTTATGTCTTACCAGAGGGAAGTTAAGCAAGTAATTCCTGCAACATGTGAATCACTCTAGAACCCAGAAGAACCAGAAAGAACAGATGGTAGAGGAAGACGGATGTACATTCCAGTGTGTAAGGCAGTTTAGGGAGATTCCTAAACATGTTCCTATTGCAAGGTAGAGCTTAGGGAAATCAGATCTGAAGGGAAAAAAACTGTAATGATTTTGCTAAACTTGGAAAGACTCATCTTAGAAATGGTAGGTGGCTAGATTTAATTAAAGGACCTATTTGAAGGGTGACATTTTATTCAATTTTGTAACTAGTTTCCATTAATAAGCATTTTTGTTCATTTTGAAAGGTGGTCTCTAGTGATAGTGCCAGTCTACTGAATTTGCTTTAGATGTGGAGCAGAGGTTATTACAGTGGCAGAAGTTAAAAGGTTGAAAGCAGTATTCTAACGTGGTGAGATCTAATTGAGAATTTTATTAAAAACTGCACAGTTAGTCTATCAGTTTTAGACCCAAATCTCAAAGTTAATTCAGAAAATAAATATATGTAGGATAATCTACATGCTATTCTACCATATCTAGTGACTGTTATGGGATAACCTACAGTGATTTTTTCCTCCACATGTGGGTTTTAGATTAGAACTACATTAAGTTACTGCTACAGCAGTTAACCAGTACAAGGTCAGAAACAGGATTCAATAGAACAATAACCCAAACTGTCAAGAATGCACATTTTTCATGTTCTGTGGTGATTCTATTCATAATGGAAAATTGAACATGACTAGAAGCACCCTAAATTCTATCAATAAAGGATATGCATTGGATCATGAATAAGGAATGGAAGAAGTAAGTTTGCTGGCAATTTAATGGAGAGGGTAGAAAAGAATCCTTTGTGATTACATTATTTCCAAACTTTTAATATCTGTAATCTTTCTGTAAAGCCCTTTTATTGCCTGGTCTCTAGCAATCATTTATTGGGGAGTAAAGACTACATGAGAATGTATAAACATCATTCCTTTATTTCTAAAAAGAAGATATTTCATACTTCGAAAAACAAAAAGGGGAAAATGGGGAAAAACCATCTTTGGTTGTTTTTCATTCATCCCATTTCCTCTTTCTTTGGTATTTTCCCATGTCTTCACATGTGAAGTGAAGTGAACTAACTTGATCTGCAAATTTTGTCCCATCACAACTCAACATAGATTTTGGTAGATTTCTGTTATTGTGTTGAAGTATATGATGCTCCCAAAAGAGAAATGCTACTGTGGAGGAATTGATCATGGTATTAAGGTGCAGTTGTTGTGGTAGCCTAATTTATTTCTGATTGTTCATAAGCCAGTCCTTAATGTTGCATCCCAACCCACTGAAATGATGATTGGTTTGGGACACATTGGAGCTGGTTGGGGTGGACTGCAGTTAATTAGTAGATCATTATTGCATGCTATAATGCAACCAACATATTATGGTAGGCATAGTTGCATTGCACTTCAGTTCAGATATTTGAATTTCTTTGCAGCTGTATGAAAAATGTTGGGAAGTGGGTTAATAAACTGAGGGGCAGTAAAGATGATACTTTTAAATGTATCACTTTAAAGATGATACTATTGGGATAAACATGGAGTCACCAAGATAGAGCCACAGCTACTTTGGACGCCTCTCTTGGCACATGCAGAAGTCCCTCTCTAGACCTAAAAAGCCGCATCATAAACTCATTTGGAAGGTCTTGGTTTCAAAAATGCTTTTCTGTGTCCTATGGTGAGACTAACAAGGCAAGTTGAAACCCCCTCAGGTTGGCATATAGAATTCTTTCAACAAAGCTCTTTCTAGGTATTTGCTTTCCTGCTTCCAAGTTCTGAGCTGAAGCCTTCAAACTTCTGTGCACTGTGGGAGAAAAGTCTCTTGCTTAAAAAATTCTATCCAGTAAAGTCTTTGCTTTGTGAACTTTACAGTATGCAGCAGTTTAAATGCATCAATGTAAAATTAGTAAGATAGGAAATGGACAACGACCTAAACTAGGAACGAAAGAGCCACACAACCAGTAAATATTTGCTTTGAATTCAGACTGCTTTTATTGGTGTGCAGGGGGTTTGTAGCAGGCTACACAAAGCACTCAGTTTTTATTTGCAAGAACTATGTTTGTCATAATTATTTACTTTAAAACAGATCACTTTGATTACAGGCACTGAATTCAGAGAGATACTTTTTACATCTATTAAAATGTGCTATGCAGGGCTCTGTGTGTGTATAATTTAACTGTGTGGGGTCACTTGGGTTCATGATTAAGGTTTGCCATATAGCTTATTTTGATGAATTAACGTGAAATATGTCAGGACATTTCAATCTTCAGTTCTGCAGGCTTTGGTGGGTGTATTTATTTCTGAGTTACATAAAGAATACAGACTTTTGAATGAGTTGTTTGCATGTTATTGCTGAGAGAACCACGTTAGAGAGATCAGTTTTGAGGACAGATGAATGTGAATGGAGAGGTCCATAGTTCAGTTTTAGAGTGCATGCAAAAGATTTGTAAAGTATTCTAATGTCAGACCACTGCAAATATTGATTACCCTTCTGTAATACTATCTTAGTATAGAGCCACTCATGTTGAAAAAAATAGTAAGTGGTAGATCCCGTCAAGACTATTTTTTCCACCTGAAACAATGTGCTACCATTTATTAAACTTTTGCTTTTTATTTTTCTCTTCTTCAGACATTGTGCTTTTCATTTCTTCAGTGGTTATCATCTCTTTTCAAAAATTTGTTTTACTTTATTTTATTGGTTATTGGATTAATGTTTTTAGAATATGGCCTTGCAGAATTATGATGGAAAGGCGAAGATGAAGTTGAAATATATGTTTACTGATTGTCCTGTTCTGCCCTTAGAGAGAAGCACTTGAATGGTTATTGTAGCACACTGTAAATTGCAGAGATTACTTACTTGGAAATATAACTTGAAGCAATAGAGAGTTGATTTTGGCATCCTGAAACTTTTGCCCTTGCATGACCATAGACAGTTGACATACCAGTTTTAGAGTTAATATGTAATGGGTAGCTGATGTAGTATTAAAGATTTTCAGAGATCTGTGAATATAGGTTCTGTTCTGTTCAGTTGCAAAGTCATGCCCGACTCTAGCTATACCTACTTTAGTATAGATGTTATAGTATAGTATATAGGAGACCTCTGACCTTTTCAGTTTCATATTTTGAATTGGTTAACAGCTCTATCACTAGGAGAATATAATATTTAATGAGCAGTGCAACCATCAGCCTGCAGGGCAATTTTAACCCTTACTGACCTGGTGAGGGTTAGAATGGGCTGAAAATACCTTTTGCTAATGAAGAGTAACTCTGCTGACAGGGGCAATGTCTACTCCAGCAGCCCCAGTTACACCTGCAGAAAGCATCACAGATACAATTCTACAGCTGGTGCTATTCCCATCAGAACCCAAAGAAGACATTCTGGTGGCACAGCTGGTCTGGGATCTGCGGAATACAAAGTGGTTCCATTACCCTGTAAAGTGTTTGAATTGGGCCTCTCACCTATGCCAGCATACTTAATTACCCCACAATGGGTTTTAAAGGTGGTTGTGGGGAATACCATAAGAAAAATTCAATGGGCTGGCTGAAAGCATGGTAAAGCCATTATCCCACCTTATTACTTATTTATTATAACATGCTAAAACATGTAAAAAGCCATAACATTAAAATTAGGCAGCAACTAAAGATTAGGCAGAGGTATTTCTTGAGTTAAAATGTCTGGAAAAATAGAAATGTCTTAATTTAGCACTGGAAATATTGTATTGTGTTGTTGTTGTTAGTCGCAAAGTCATGTCCAACCCATCGCGACCCCATGCACAACACTCCTCCAGGCCTTCCTGTCCTCCACCATCTCCCAGAGTCCACCTAAGCTCATGCCAGCTGCCTCAGTGACTCCATCTAGCCACTTCATTCTCTGCTGTCCCCTTCTTCTTTTGCCATCTATTGTGCCCAGCATTAGACTCTTCTCCAGGGAGTCCTTCCTTCTCATTAGGTGGCCAAAATATGTGAGTTTCATTTTCAGGATCTTGCCTTCTAAAGAGTAGTCAGGGTTGATCTCCTCTAGGACTGACCGGTTTGATCGCCTTGCGGTCCAAGGGACTCACGGGAGTCTCCTCCAGCACCACAATTCAAAGGTCTCAATCCTTCAGCGCTCAGCCTTTCTTATGGTCCAGCTTTCACAGCCATACATTGCAACTGGGAAAATCATAGTCTTGACTATACGCACTTTTGTTGGCAGGGTGATGTCTCTGCTTGTATTGTGTAGGCATCCTATAATTGTGATGCCATCACCAAAAAAGACCTCCCTTTTGTTCTTACACAAAATACTTCCTATAAAAAAGGCAAAGTATCTCACAGTGTTCTGAGTTTCATGAAAGGCTATTTGGGCAATCCTACTCCTTTGTGCTGAGGCTCTTATGCTAGTTAAGTCTTCATATATTGATAGAGGTTGCACTAATTTCTTCATAGTTCATGAAGAAGCAAAGTAGTTGTAGATCCAGGGATTCTAAAAGAAATTTGCATGCACCCTATGTGGGATGGTTATGCTGCTATTGAAACGATATAGTTATCCAACAGAATTAGCTCAGTTCAGCAAAGTAAACTTCTTTTTAAAATTTTGCTAGTTTATATCTAGCACAGAACAGTCAAACAGAATTAAAATTTGTTTTACCTCTGGAGTATCTTTTTTCCTAGATTGCTGGCCGGGTAGCTGAGGAAAGGGGTGCTTTGCTGGGTCATGAAGTTGGATACTGCATACGATTTGATGATTGTACTGACCCACAGGCTACAAGGATTAAGGTAATATATTTTATTGAAATGCCTGTATCCCATAACCATTTGCTAATGCTTTCAATCAGTGTTTCAAGGTGAAGAGGATATAGTACTGGAAATGGATACTCACATTTATGTAAAATAGAAGAATGGAGGTTTCCCAATACTTGAATTCCATGCTGATATGGTGATTGTATATTGCTGTTTGGAGTCATAACATCACCATCAGATAGGACCATTTTTGTGCACAAATACCCATGTGGGAATTTGGCTGCCCAGGGGATATGCTGTAGTAGACACCAGGAGTAGCATATGTGACCAACAAATTGCAAATGTTTTTCTAGAAAAGACTGAGGAATCTCGTGCAAACTAGATAATTAGGTATTGGGACTCATAGATGCTGCACATGTTAAATAGATAACAATTGGAGTGGTGTAAGACTGGGCTTGTTCTGTTTCAACAAATGGTGGAAGGATCTATTCAGAAGGACTTTTTGCATGTCGCAACCTCGATGGGTTGTTTAACCCTCACAATAACCAACAATCACTGGATTCATATAACCAAGAACCTCAACAAGGTTTGAATAAGTGACACTGTGGGCTAAATTTTGACAAGCGCTGGCATATTGTCCAAACCCATTTTGTAACTTTTGTTAACCCTAATTATGTGAACAAGCTAGTGAATATAAACGCTTTTGGACCACAGAGCGGGCTTATTCCCCACTGGGCTGTTCTTGGGCTTTTTCTTAACTTGACCCACATAAGGCTTTTTCTAAAAGTCTGTTTCTGCAATTCTTGCTCTGTTTCCTCATGTGTGTGGCTGGTGCATATAAGTAAGGATCCACACTGATCTCAGAACTTGGGAAATAGAAGGCTTTATGTATTTTGGAGCTTTCTTTCACTGAGTTTGTTTCATTAAAAAGTCATTATTGTTTCTTTGTTTTAGTTCCTTACTGATGGGATGTTGGTGAGGGAAATGATGGCTGATCCATTACTAACAAGATACAGGTAAACAGTGTTGTATATATTAATGTGTGACATTGATTTCTAGATACTTCTTTCCCTTATTGGATTTTAAGCAGTAAACTTTTGGGATCAGATGTTGTCTGTTTCCATCTCTACCTTTCTCTCCTTTGCTTATTGGTCTATAATAAGCCATTCAGTGAAATCATACTACATAAATAATAGGTGAGATTATTAGAATGATAAAATTTACGGCCAGATTATATTTTCCCCTACTCACATCTCATCCCAATAATATGTTAGGTTTTGCTTCATAGTCCTTACCTTACATTTATTTATTTGTAGATCAAGTAATGCTTTGGGAGACCAAAAGCATCCCAAAGCAGTTTACATGAAATGATAAATTACAATAAAAGCAACAAAAGATAGAGCAACACAGAAAATGAAAAGCCAGATAAAACACGGAATAGAACAGAACACTCTAAACAATCTGGGGCCTTCACTTGGTGTTGAAGGCCATCAGACTTATTCAGCCATGTCTCCATTGGGACTGCATTCTAGAATTGTGTTGGCATGACTGAAGGGGGCTTGTTCACAAGCCACTGTTTGCCACAATGTAGCTAGCATATTTTTATTTATTTATTTATTTATTTATTGTTTATTTATTGCATTTATATACCACCCCAATAGCCCAGAGGGCTCTCTGGGTGGTTTACAAACATCAAAACCCCAAATACAGTATCCAATCCTAAACAAATAAATTGGCTACACCACAACTGAGTATAAAATAACATGGTTAAAATGAATAAATATGCAATTAAAATCAATTAACTTTAAAATATTGGTTAAATAAAAAGGTCTTGACCTGGTGCCGAAAAGCATATAATGATGGCGCCAGGTGCACCTCTCTAGGGAGCAGATTCCGTAGTTGGGGCACCACTGCAGAAAAAGCTCTCCTCTGAGTACTCTGTCCCATAACCTCTTTCAAAGTGGGTTCCTGGATGAGGGCCCCTGCTACTGATCTTAGGGGGCAGGAGGGCATATAGGGGAAAAAGGCGTTCCTTTAGGTATCCTGGTCCCAAGCTGTTTGGGGCTTTATAGGTAATAACTAGCACCTTGAATTGAGCCCGGACTTCAATGGGAAGCCAGTGGAACTGATAGAGGACTGGAATTATCTGAGAATAACGACCAGTCCCCGACAGCATCCTGGTAGCTCTATTTTGCACTATCTGAAGTATCCGGACCTTCTTCAAAGGCAGCCCCATGTTGAGTGCATTACAAAACAGGAGGTAACCAGTGCATGTGTCACTGTTGCCAGGCAGTTCTCCAGGTAAGGATGCAGCTGATGGATCTAACATAAGGGCCTCTAAGGATCTCAGTATTTAATCAGGCTTATATGGGTAGTCTGATTCTTCAGGTATCCTGGTTCAAGCTATTTATGGTTTTTAGGGTTAAAACCAATGCTTCGAATTGGACCTGGAAAGAAACCAGAAGTTAGTCCAGTTGTTTTAAAAATAGCAAGATGTGTTTTGTACATTCGGGCTCAGTTAGTAGCCAGACTGCCCAAGTTTTTAGTAACTGTAATTTCTGCACTGTCTTCAATGGCAGTTCCATTAATAATGCGTAGCACTAACCTAGATGGGTGTTTCAGGGACTATGCTAGGCTGTCTCTTATGGATGCTGGGGAAGGCAATAGGTTCTCTAGAACCACTTTCTAGAATTGAACATGAAGGAACAGAACTACTGAACCAGTCTGGAGGAATACCATGGTTGATGCCATATATGGCACATACAGCCTCTTCACATCTGGAAACTTCTCATTTTACTGTAAAGGACATTATCTTAAGTAGAGCTATTCCTGGCCTTTGATTATTTGCCTTCTCCTGAGTAGTAGGTGTGTGAGTGGAACTTCATTGATGGTTGTTGCATCTCTGGAGTTTTAAATTCTGTGAATTACAAATGCATGACTTCCAAGATTGACTTAAACAGTGATTATCAGAACCGTGAGGCTTATTTAATGAGTTGCAGTTGCTAAATGCTTTTTTTCAGATGGTCTTAATGGTAGCATAATTAACACTTCTGAAGATGTATTCTTTTTGATTTGATTCAGTGTCATCATGTTGGATGAAGCTCATGAAAGAACCCTGTATACAGACATTGCCATTGGATTGTTAAAAAAGGTTAGAACTCTCTAACTATATTGTGTAGTGCTCCCCATCCAAATTGTTCCACTGGGAAACGAGCAAAGAGTTGTAATGCTACTGTAGCTGTAATCCTTAAATTCTTCTTGGAGCCTCTGTTCAGCAGCTGTGAACCTATTATCCTGGCCCAGTATGCCATTTTCCAACAAAAATCCCTCTGTCTGAGTGCTCGAGACAGCTCAATGCTGAGCATTTGCTTCTCCAAGAGATGGCAGGTGGCATTAATTAATGGCAGGTGGACATTAATTTAGAATGAATGCTCTTTGATCAAAATTCCAGAGTATATCCTTTTACACAAGTTGGTGGTTTACAAAACATCAAGGAATCAATCCTGATATTATTTCAGAAAGCCTTTTTTCTGGCTTATCCTAATGTTTGCTTATGAATTTTAGGCAAGATGCGTTAATATCTTTTTTTCTTTTTTTTTTTTTGATAACATTCTTCATATACGGGTAAGTTCCCATCTCAACATAGGGGAAACTGGACATGCTTATAATGCATGAAAGCATGTCCTTCTTTTCAGTTCATCATAGGTGGCTCTGAGAAATTGAAAACAAACCCTAATTTTATAATTGTCTTGTGTGCCTACTCAACTAGCATTTTTCACAAATCAGTTCTGTAATGTAAGGGATTTTGTAGCATTTGACCGTAATTGAATAATGAGTATATTTTCCCTTCTGTGTTTCCCAGGTTCAGAAGAAACGAGGTGACCTTCGTTTGATTGTAGCATCAGCCACACTGGATGCAGAGGTAAAACTAATAGATTTATTTAAATAATGGCTCTTGAGTGATTGATTTCTGATAGATAAATGAGACAAAAATCATTCTTGTATTGTAATAAGGCCTGAAAAGAAGAAAGCACACAATCAGTTGCAGAGGCACAATCCGATGGGAACATAGCTTGTCCAGACCAACCCCACCAGAACAAATAATTGTTACAAAACCACCTTTGATGATTTCGTTCAATATTCATTGCTTCCATTGATCTTCTGCTGGAAGGTTTCCTGTTTTCTTGACAGGGATACTGTAAATACAAGCACAAGATTCTCGTGTTCAGCCTAGGAAATAACTGAAATTTTTTTCTACTGAAAATGTGTGCAATGAACTTTTCAAGTGTAATTTGGAGCCTGTTGCTTCCTCAGTATTGTCTTTCGGAAAGCACAGATGTTGATCCCTTTATACCCATTCACTTCCCGTGCTTGCATCCCTTTCCTTTCCTATGTTGCTGGTACAATGGTAACCAGAAAACTCCTCACTTGTGACAACTGGGATTTTGCCAGCACTTTTGCTGGGGGAAACAACATTCCCTGGTACACCTTCTGCTGGATCACCACCCATTCCTTACTAGACACTGTGGCTGTTCACATAACATGACAGCCCACTATGGATTATTTAACCCACAGCAAGGCTGTGGTATGTGTGTGTATGTGGCTTCCATTTTCAAAATGCAGTTCACACTTAGGGGTTGTGTTATGTGAAGCCAGTGAAAAGCAATTATGCAAGGGTTAGACAACAGTTGTAGTCCATGGTCTGATTTACCATTATGCAAGGGTTATTTAACCATCTCATAACCCATTCTCACCAGGATTACTCAACACAATATTCCCTGAACAGGGTTTGATTAATGCATTCTGGTGCCCATGAACTTTGCGGTGCATCATGGATTAAATGCACAAGGAATAATGACATGATTTATTTATTTATTTATTTATTTGGAATATTTATGTGCTGATGATGTCTATGAGATGGAAGCAAGAGAGCAAGTGCTTTGATTTCGTCTGTTGCTAGAGCAACTATTTAAAGTAAATGCCGTGTGAAGAAGGGCATTTGGTGATGTTAAATGGAGAGTGAGGAACATGATCCCAAGTAGAACTTTCACAGATGAAGCACTTCCCTTCTTTTGAGAGGAATAATACAAGCTCATTGAGATTTGTTTTTCCAAGCAGAATTTAGATGAACCCTTTTTTGAATCCATCCCTCCAGAATCTGTGGGCTTCCTCTAGTGTGCAGTCCTGCAAAATGAGCTGAGCCAAGAGGAAGTTTGCAAACACATGGTTCCACAACTGCCAAGCTTCCCTGTCAGGAGTTGCTGCAAAATACATAAGTGGGGAGCTGTGAGTGGGTGTGCCAGCTGCCATTCCTGATGACCAACCTTTTTCCCCACTCACTGTGGAAACCACGGAATCCGATGGATTTTCTGCACAAAATGGATTCCTTGCACATTCCTATTTCTAAGCTAAGAAATAAAGTCTGGATGACTGGCTTTATTTATTTATTTAATATATTTTTATCCTGCCCAACCTGAAGGCTCTCCGGGTGGTTAACAAAATATGTGACATGGTTGACATTAGGTACATTTAATTTGGTGATGATCTGCACAAATAGCTAGGAGCTTAATTTCTATGAATTTAAGATAATAGTATTTATCACTTGCTAATTCTAATTCTTTTTTAGACACTTTGTGGGGAAACTGTGAAATTGCTTGTCAGTTTATTTTATTAATAGCTTTTTGTTTATTTATGAGTTATTGCATAAATAGTAATTTTATATCATTTCTGTTCCATCTAATTTTCCTGCTTGTTAAAAAATGAAAAAGTTGTAGCTATATATTAACAAGGGGAAAAATTACTCATTAGCAACATAGATATTAAATGATACTCTGCTCTCAGCCCTATTTAATGTCTCCAAAATGACTGATAATTACTAGATGAATAAATTAGAATGTAATTTACTCATTATAAATTATATCTACAGTAGTTGTTATATAGGCATCTTATGAAAAGTGGGAGGAGTGAGAAAGTGATCTCCCCAACTTCCTGCTCTGCAATTTGGCTTGATAGTCTTTTTGCACATCTAGCTGGGGCATTTCAAAAGGGAAGGGAAGGAGGCTGAAGGGGCTTCAGGATATCTTAGTCTGGATACAGTGGTCTCTTCCTGTGCCACCCCATAAAAGACCTCTTTTTCCCCTCTCTCTGAGGTTGCTTTCCTAACCTCAAAGGTGTAGTTCTTTCCATACCAGATGCATGGTAGATGTCCTTCAGTTTTTTCTAAAGTCAGAGTGCTAGTCTGAACTTGGCTTGAGGAATCCAAACTATCCTGTGGCCCCTCAGATGCTTTCTAGGGGCCATAGGTTTGTTTTCCTATTGACTTACGTTCTGAAGTGTGTTTTGTGGTAGTATGAAATGTTTGCAAAATGGAGAAGTTATTGTTGAAACCTCATATATGCTAGGTACTAGCTTTGGCAGCATATTTAATATATAGCTGGTGTGTATGATCAGATTAAACAATGTTTGGTATGCATGTTAAGTGTTTCCTTCTAACTCTGGAAATATTCCCAACTGTATTTCCTATTTCTCCAAAAATACTAGGTAGATGCCCTACTATTAATGGGCATGCCTTATTAAATCAAAATGATGAATTATCAGAAATTATTATTTTGATCTCAAAACATGTATATAATAATTTCTATATGTGTACATAACAGGATGTATGAGTTCACTTTGAAAATGTCCAGCTAACATTAAAATAAAAGTAACAATGTCCTACTTGAGCTCCCAGTATCCTGTAGATCTTTGCTACATTTTAATGATAAAAATGATAATGGCTTGCTGTTTTTACCCTAGAAATTTAGGGATTTCTTTAACCAAAATGAGACCAGTGACCCAAGCAAAGATACCAGCATGATCCTTACTGTGGAAGGGCGAACATTTCCAGTGGATGTCTTCTACATTCAGAGGTCTGTTCCTGTTTAATACTTGTAAGTGGTGGCTAGAGGAGCATGCATCTTTGATACCTGATTGTCAACCAAAAGTCTGGGAGGGAAGGGAGCTTGAAATAGATTTTAGAATTTTTTTAAAAAGAATTGTTTTACATGGGCTTCAGTACCAACACATTGAGGATGTAAACCTGAATCTGTTTTCCAATTGAATGTGTCTTTCTCCTATTTTGTGAGCAACAGGCGCAGACTTCAGTGGAGGAGGGCTTCGGGAACCTTCCCCCGTCCCCTTCTGCACCGGCCAGCTGGAGCAGACTTCAGACGAGTGCTACGGGGACTCGGTGGAATCTTCATGCTTTTCCTCCCCTGGAATCTTAGTCCTTCCCTTCCCCCTCCACAGAAGGGATATGGGCAAACCTGGCAGCACCTTCATGCCCTCTCTCCTCCTCCACAGGAGATGGACAGGTCCGATGGCGGAAGTGGGCTCGTTTTTTTACCCCGGCACACACAGTGCTTGCTTTTGCACTTGTGCTGAGCAAGGAAATGTGGGTGTCATAGATGGATAATCATATGCTTGTAAATCATATCCCTTTATGTTCTTCCAAACTTTTGCATTAGACATAATTGAGGAATGCTGAAGTAATCACAATTGAAATATTCTGGAAAAGTAGCTATGTTCATTTATAATTGAACCAAAAGATAGTTCAATGGGCTTTTTGAATCTAACTTTCTGTTGTGGTATGTGCTTTTGTAGGTTAGTGCTTATTTCATTTGCTGCATGATGTGGTGTTTCTTTTTCATACCTTAAATACCATTTGGGGTGTCTAAATATATAAATGTATTAAAGGTTTGGGGTTTCCACCTACCTTGATTTTTAGTTGAAATTAATATTTGCAATATTCCCTTAATAACTTTTTACAAAGAGAGACACACTTTATAGCAAAGCTAGGGCAGCTGGTTTCTTCTAATAGAGTTGCGTTTTAAAAACAGTTTTCTAACTAGTGTGCATAGGTTGGGTCACACACATATATGCACATATGACTCTTTTATGCTTAGTGTTTGGCAGCTGATCATATGAACTGTTCCACTAGAAAGCATTTTCTTTGAGTGGTATGAGAGTTCAATCTGTTTTGTTTCATCCATGATGGCCAATCTGTGATGGCCACATATGCAGGATCAGTTGATTATCCAGTCAGTGTGTGATAAACTTCCATGTTTGATCCAGAAATACATTTCTAAGGAAAAGGAATTGTTTGCTTTAAAAAGGCTTTAAAGGGCTTTAAAATGCCCTATATAATCAATCTTAGATTTAATGTCTAAGTGCATGTTAGATGCTTCTTGCAAAATGTGTAGGCCCTTAGAATTAGATTTTTATAACTGTGAAATGGGATATCCTGGCAATAAGAAGCACTTCAGTTTGTATTTGTATTGTGCTTAATACTTTATAGCCAAAGTTTAATAGAACTGAATTGTTTAAATTTGACTTTTAATATATATTAAATATTTTTTCATGTTTGTGAAATTCTTATGTATGTATCTGTGCACATGTGTGTGTGAATGAATGCATATATATTTAGAATTTGTGATAATATCAAATAAGTGAAATATCTGTGAATGACTTATGAAGAATCCAGGAACAACCAATTATTGATAGGGTTGTGCATTAGGCATGTTATAAGGATGTCACCTGTCTATATTATATATGAAAAGCTAACTATATATTCTCTTTTATTTCTCTTGGTGTTAAGACAAAGCAATGCATTCCTATATTTAACTATGTATATGCTTTTTTTCAACAGTCCTGTTCCAGATTATGTGAAATCCACTGTGGAAACGGTCATGAAAATTCATCAGACCGAAGGTGATGGAGATATTCTGGCATTTTTAACAGGCCAGGTAGACACAAAAGAAACATTTGTCCTGTTCAAAATGTTATTTTTATGTAAGATACCATGATCACTTGATTCCATTCAGCCATTCTGATTGGATTTATTGCTTATATACAATGTGTGTTTGTGTGCGAATGAAGAAAAGAGAGAATACCAAATGCTAGTATTCAGGTATATTATTCTAATGGTAATGTATACATCTCTGGTTCTGTTTGATTTGATGTATACATCTCTGGTTCTGTTTGAGGGAACTCTACAGCTTCATTAAGCAGCATAAAGTCCATGCAGAATGGTTTGGTACTAGCCGGGGGGACCTGCGGAGTATCAAACAAGCGGTGTATAGAGAGCTGCTAGAGGTGGCCTATTTTAGACCGCAGGTCGTCAAGAAAGCAAGGAGGGAGAGCCTCTCTCGATACCTGAGGGAACAGACTTACCCGATAGAATATTTTCAAGACAGGAGGGTTCCGTTCCGGTTCTTTTTCTATCATTCAGAAGAGAGACTATTTCTAGGCCCTGTATTCCTAAGCATCTCTTTGTGCTGGGCTTTTTCCTGAGCAGTAAGCATTGTCTGTAAGGTTCCTGAAATTGTCAGCCCCTTTAGCAAGGTTGCTTTCAGATTACTAAGGATTATGGCTTAGTAGCTGCACAAAAATTGTTCTGCTGTTCCAGCTAAGTGTGCATATCTAGTTTCCAAGAAGAAGTCATAAGTGTTAAAGTTTTTGAAACACATAATAATATAAATGTGAATGGCCAGTTCAGCCTGTGCTTTCCAGATGATCAGGAGCCATAATGTGGATTGGCATGTTGATTCTGACCCTTTTACTACAAAAAACTACTTTATTGCACAATTAGAAGGAAAAGAGAGCTTATAGTAACTATTAAGTAACTTAAAACATTTGTTTGACCTTCCAGGATGTTTGGAATAACAGTCTGAAAAAATTGGTGTGGTGTTCCTTTTGGAATGTTGTAACTTCTGGAGTTACAAAGTTGTATCCAATGTTATAGCCTAACATGAGTCTTATTAATTTCAGTGGTTCCACTCTAACCAGATAAATTGGATACAACCCACTGGGAAACAGTTATTTTTGTTAGTTGGAAGACCAAGCTGCTCCATACAATGTAAAGAAGGAAGGAAAAGGAAGTCTTTTGAGACTAAGCCATCTTCCTTCCTTCCTTTTTTAATTCCTGGTTATTTCCAGGAACTATCCCGTGGGAGCCATGAGTTCATGTAGATCCTGAAACTTAAAAGGAAGTCTTAGTCTAGTCAAGAAAAACAACACAAATTTTGTTGGCTTCCTCTTTTGAATAAGTTTGTTGTATGAAGCAGATCTCTAATAACTAAGCGTTCAGGAGGTGTTATGTATTTTGATAGTTTGTCTTGGAATGGAAACATAACAGAGTACTGGAGAAGGATCATGACTCTGCTGAAATCCTGTCTTTATCACCATTAGCTGACTTTTTGAGGGTAATAAAGAGGAAGAAAATCTAACAAAAAACTATTAAATGTTGTCTATAAGCATGTCATAGTGCCCATAGAGGCTTCGGCGAATGGGGCGGCATTAAAATGTTTAAATAAATAAATAAATAAATAAATAAATAAATAAATAAATAAATAAATAAATGATGTGGTCTGGAAACCAAATGCATTTTATCTGGCATTTTTCTTCATCTATTTCTAGGAGGAAGTAGAAACAGTTGTTTCTATGTTGATAGAACAGGCTCGGATCCTTGCTCGCACAGGAATGAAGAAACATCTCCGTGTTCTTCCTATGTATGCTGGGCTGCCTGCTTCTGAGCAGATGAAAGTGTTTGAGAGGGTATCTCACAACGTTAGAAAGGTGAGCTGTGTCACTCAATGTCCTCAGTGTAGCTTAATAGAGTATTATGCTTTTGATGTGGTGATAGCTGTAGATTATGTGTATACAGCCTAGCAACTATCTTTCTGCATTTTGCATGATAGTCTATGCTGCAGAGCATCTTTTCCCAACTTGATATCCTCTAAATGTGTTGAATTTCAGTTCCTATCAGCTCCACACTATATTGCCAGTGGTCAAGAATTCAGGACATTAGGGTGCAAAATATTGGAAGGGCACCTGCCTGGAAGGGAAAGCTGCCTTAGTGAAAGGATTTCAGTGTTCTTTAGAGTAGCTACTTCATGCCTACTTTCAGCTACTTCATGCCTACAAATCAAGCACTTATTTGCATGCTTGATTTTTCTAATTCTGCCTGGGAATTTTAACAACTGTTTGTTGCAGGTTTTTTGTTGCTGTTTGGTGGTAGTTCTTTAGTGCAGCTCTGCATAGAATCTTGTGTTGTTTTCTCAAGTTTACATAGTCTGTAATCAATGAGTGTGATGAATATGAAACAAACTAGCTTTATTTGGTGTTTCAGGTCATAGTGGCCACTAATATTGCGGAAACATCCATTACAATCAATGGCATTTCATTTGTGATTGACTGTGGCTTTGTGAAGCTCCGTGCCTATAATCCAAAAACAGCAATTGAGTGTCTTGTGGTTGTCCCTGTATCAAAGGCATCGGCTAATCAGAGAGCTGGTCGTGCAGGCCGGAACTGTTCAGGGAAATGCTACAGACTTTACACAGGTGGGGTGTGCTTAACAATGCAATCTTTGCTCTTTTGTAGTTAATGTTATGCTTATTTATTTATCCATTCAGTTTTTATGCCACCCAATGTACACTCTGGGCAATTTGCAATACCAACCTTGCAAATCTTGATAATGGCTTTGATGCAACAAGGTTTCACAGTCTGTAATACGTTTATAAGAGACTTAAATATACTTGAGTAAATGTTCATTGTTTGAGTGTGCTGCACACAGGCTGTCCAAACACTTTTGCAGCAGGAAAAGTAGTTCTGTTTCTTGTAATCAGTTGCATTCGTTTACGTACTGGAAGTTTCCCATCTGTTCATGCTGCAGCCCTTCAAAAGGATGCAGAAGTGAGCATTCTTATCCTTGGCAACCCCTCCAATTTTTTTTTCATCCTGTTCCTTGATCTTCCAGAGAAACTTAGGGGTGGTGAGTGTGTCAGAAACTTCCAGGGAAGAAAGGATGGGAACATTTTCTTCTGTAGCCACCTTATGTTTGCTATTCTCTTGATCCAAAAGCTTATGTAGTTAGCAGGCATATTTAACTCTGTGCAGATCTTCTCCCTCATTTTACATAACCTTGGTCTAGGATCTTTAAAGAGCCACAATTTACCTTTGCAGTCAGATCAAAGCAGCTCCCCATCACATGCTTCATATTCTGCAAAATTGCCTTGCTGGTGTACCTGTGCTACTCTAATCTATGGCAGATAAGCTGTGTTATATAAGCAGTTCCTCTATGAAACATATTCATTAGCATACATTTGGGTTTGAACAGCTTTACTTTCAAAGCTGGATGAGCTGCTTAGCTCTTCAGTTTTGAGATCCTACAGTAGAGTTGGCTTAATGAATTGATGTTTAATAAACCCAATCTAGATGAGCTTTGCTTTCTCCACAGAGGAAGATTTTGAGAAGTTGCCACAGTCCACCATTCCTGAAATGCAGCGCAGTAATCTTGCACCAGTCATTTTGCAGCTCAAGGCTTTAGGAATTGATAATGTGCTTAGATTTCCCTTCCTCTCTGTAAGTAAGAAATTTTTATTTAACCTTTAGTATTTTCAAGTTGTTCTGTAGTTTGGGCCATGTTACATGAAGGACCTTAAGGCTGCTCTCTTCTTACCTTGTTTACATGGATCGCTTTCATATCATTTTGTTGTGTGCTAAATAGAACAAGAAACAGAGCCTTGTATTCAATTGCTTGCCATCAGTGACCAGAAATTTCATGCTGGTAACTGCATGGAATATCACAGGGGAGAACCAGTGAGCTCCAGAGGAGGGATGGCTTTTATCCCTTTTCCATCAGCCTGCTCAGCTTTTCATGCTGGCTATGATGGAAGTGAAACACTGAAACCAGTTAGGCTGATGGTAAAGTGATAGCGAGATCCATGCTCTTACCACCAAACCTACTGTACTTCTCTGCTGGATGCTCAGAAGACAAAGCCTCTTTCTGCAGTCTAATACAGACATTATACAGGCTGGGAGTGGAGTCATGGTCATTTCCATTTCTTTGCTTCTAATTACCTGTGACTTGATGCTGGATGTGCAGGAGGTAAAGCCTTTTTCACTGTACTCAGTGTAGAAATTAAGTGTGGTGGTGGTGGAGGCAAGTATGCTTAAAAACCAAAACAAAACTTGCCTGCTTTTGAGTTTATAAGAGATGCCAGTAAAGGAGGGCTAGTATAACATTCCTCCTTGCCATAAGATCACTAAAGGCACAATCCTGTGCATGTTTAAACAGAAAAAAATCCAAAAAATCCCTGTAACTCTCAACTAGACATGCTGTAAGACTTTTTCTGTCTTACACGGGTAAGACTGCATCCTGAATGGCTGTAGGCTGCAAAGTCAGAAGACATGTGCATGAGACTTGTTTAATGATTACTGGAAAGTTCTCATCTCACCATGGTTAATAAGCTAGTATTTGCTGCACTGCCATAAATAAACTGGCCTCATGCCTGCCTAAAAGATTTGAACAACGTTATACAGAATTCCTCAGGAAAAGAAAATATTTTACTCAGGAACATCTCCAGAAGTAAATTTAAAAAACAGCAGCAGCAACACAACCAGTTTTTTGTACCTTGCATTCAAGGAATTCAAGATTCAAGGAAAAGAATAATCAGTATATTGGGATTTTTTTTAAAAAAGCCTTCATTGTCATTTTTTTCTTTTTTACCCTCTTGATTTTTATTGATTTTATTGGGGTAGTGCTGTATTGGGGCTGTCACAAACTTTCTTAGGAGTGTTTTTGGTCAGATGAAGTTCATAGCAATGCAGAGTTCTCTGAACATGGGATCTCTGACAATGGTTGGACTGCTCTTATCAGACATATTGACAACCACAGAAACTGATAATCAGTGCCTGAATATATCTATATCCCTGTTGATTTCAGTAGAAGAAAGGTGGAATGTGAAATAAATGTCTCTGCAGTAAGCAGGGTAAATTGTGTCACTATTTTCCTTTTCCAGCCTCCACCTGCTCAGTCAATGGTTCAGGCTTTGGAGCTACTCTATGCATTAGGAGGTAAGCTTGTTTTTGTAACAACAGTAATGATACAGGATAATACTCAACTGTCACCTTTCTAAACTTCCATCCTTTCCTAAAGAATAGGGTAGATGAAACGCTAACTGATTGCATTTCTACACATAATTAGAGGAGCAGATCACTGAACCATTAACTGCTGTAGGAATATCCTTTCTTTTATAAGTCCCAGAATTATCTGAATACAATTGATTTTATCTTTGGTACAAAGTACTTAAATTGCTTTCAGTTCTGTGCACCAAATGTATATATGATTTCTGGTAGATCTATAGACATTTCTTTTGACAAACTTAAAACCCAAATCAACACAAACATGCTATGGCTGGTAAGAAAAATCTATAGCTGCTGGATAGTGCAATCCCATTAAAATGTCTCTTGTGCATGCATTGGAGTTCTTTGCTACTCATTCAGCTTCAAAAGAAGTAAAGTATTCCATTGACCCATGTATATATTTTTTTGATTTCTGCATTAATTATTACGGAGTGGTTGAGGATCCTACAATAATAGGTGACTAAAAATAGCAATCTAGACCAGAATTCAAATAATACATAGGTAGCTCATCTTCCAAGTTCATAATGTTCTCATTCGTTTTTTCCTCCCACTAATATACAGAATTAAAAAATAGCACTTACCTTTTCTGAAAACTAGCCTAACTACTCTAAAAACTAGCCTAGATACTCTTTGCTTGTTAAGCATGCCTGCTTTTTTGTGTTGGGATCCTAATATTGATGCATTATTGATCCTTCTGCTTTCTCTGCTTTATGTTTTTGTGACAGTGTGTGGATAGTATGCTGTGAAATATGGTACTAAGAGAAGAATCTTCGTAGACTGTCATTTATTGCAGCTTGTTTGAAAGACAAATAGGTGTTTTCACTCAAAATGTACTGCAAAAGGTGCTCAGAAATACCTTCAAGTATTTGGAAAGGTTGATAGAATTCCCATTGAGCTCATGTTTTTTGTTTTTGCCTAAAACATCTTGCATTGCTGAATAAAAGTAAAGAGAGGAAGAGGGATCCTTTCTGCTTATTGCCATTTCCAGTTGAATGGTGGACTGTTGCCAGCAATCCTTTTAAGTTTTGCAAATGCTCTAAACCTTAAATACAGAAAGTGAAAAGCAAGGCTAAAATGCAATAATAGATTTTTCTGTAGTTAGATTTTATAGTTATAGTCAATTTAAGCATTAAGAGTATTTCTAATTGTTTGAAACTATTTGGCATTTAAGGTATTGGGACATACTGCATTTTGTGAAAACAGTACTGTGATTTCAGGATTCATAATGATTCTAAAGAAAACTGATTGAGTCTGCTTTCCATGTTAGGATTTTCAGTCTGCCTCACACAGAGAAGCTTATGTAAGGCAAACCACTGAAGGATTTCCCCCCATCATCTTCTCTACTCTAGACTTCCCGAGAATCCTTTCCTTTCTTGATTCTCAGAATCTTAATGTGTTGGTTGCATGGATGGTGGATTTTCTCTCTCTAAAGAGAAAAAAGAAAAAGAAAAGAAACAAACCACACACCATGCTTTAGAATGATAGACTTTCACTCTAAGACTCATGTGTTATGGTCTAGGAATAGCACATTGACATAGCACAGAAGATCTCTTCTGCCTTTGTGATAATACCTTATGTGGCTGGGGCTACTATCACTTCTTTTTGCAAAGGTGCACATTATTAAATCCTACAGTAAAATAAATGAGTGTTATATGTGTTTGATTTGAAGTATATCCACTGCACAGTGGAAGTTCATTTGCTTTTCCTCATGGATATAAACTTGGCCTATGGTGGTGGCATACAGGATTTCTGGTCTCAGGATGACGACATACCTGGATTATTATTATTCTGGAATTCTGGAATGCCCAAGAAATCTGAAGAATGGCTTGTCCCTGATTTTTTGGGAAGCTTGCAGTTTCTGTTTTGTGCGGTTTTAGGTTCAAAGTGTAGTGACCCATTCAGTAAACAGATACCAGAAACTCACTTTAGACATGCAGCATTATAGATCTATTTCTGTGGAAAAAGAAGTGTTTCTAACACACCATAATTTGTTTTGAAATATTTTATAACCAAGTGTTGGATCATTTGAATTTTCATTTTGTAATGCTGCTTCCTTTTCTGCAGGACTTGATAAATATTGTTGTCTTACTGAACCACTTGGAATTAGGATAGCAGAGTTTCCATTGAACCCCATGTTTGCGAAGATGCTGTTGGAATCAGGTATAGTCACAGTACTGCAGTTTAGCTTACAAATCTGTAATACATCTTTTAGAACATGTAGCATTTATATTATCTATAAAATAGAAGTAAAATGTTAAGTGTGTTCTGTAGGTTATAGCATGGTGGTCTGATGGCAGCAATGAATGAATACACAGTTATGAAAGAAACAGAGTAAATATTTTACAAAAACAGAAACATTATCCTGCTTTCTGCTTCAATTAGTTTAATATTTATACATTCCATATTTAGTGTTGAGTCACAATCAAAGTCATCCATGTCATGACTATATTTACCAGGTAATGGTAGAGAGAAAAGTATTTTCTTTATGGGAGTGTGAAAGTGAAATTCCTTTTCCATTCTCTTTTCCTTTAATCATTTTGCAGGGAATTTTGGTTGTTCCCAGGAGATTCTGAGCATTGCAGCCATGATGCAGATCCAGAACATTTTTATAATTCCTCCAAACCAAAAGTCACAAGCTGTAAGTGCCATTCCTGGGCTCATCAACTCCCCTTTCTAACTTGTTTACATTGGATATATTTTAATTCATGTTGTGAAACACTTTGGTAACTGACTGCCTGAATATTTAAATATTTATGCTAAGGCTCTCAACTGCAATGAGAGAAGATAAAATTATATATGCTAGCTTTTCAGAATGAGAAATACATATTTAAAATATAGTTTGAATATTCACTTTGGCAAGAATGAAGCATTCTTGGTAAGTTGGATTGTTGATCCAGTGACAGATTTCCAGCTTGTTCCAGTTTTATTATATGTTGTCTAAAGGGCCCCTATTTTTTTAATTCTCCTTTTCAGATCAGAGAACACAGAAAATTTGCTGTTGAGGAGGGTGACCATCTCACCATGCTCAATGTCTATGAAGCTTTTATAAAAGTAAGCAATAACCCCAACTACATGAGGGCATGTAAAATATGGATTCAATTTACTAGCATTGAATCTGTTTAATGTCTGTCTTTGAAGACTGTAAACATGCAGCATAAGTAATTAACAGGACTGGATATGTGTTGAAAAACTAAACAGGGAAGTTGGGCAGAACAGTAAAGCTCTTCTCTGCTGAAAGACCTACTTGGCCCTTCTGTGACATGACAGATTTAAGAGCATGGCATGTATTTTGTAGGCAAACAGTTTGAAACTTATTTCCTTTACAATAAGAATTAGGACCTTGTATGTGTGCTAAAACATTTAAAAGCTATGCCGAGCTTCTCAAGATTAACATATGCTTTCTGTCCTCAATAATCAATTGGATTGGTTCCTTGTTGACAAGTTGCTTATATTTGGAGCCTATGCATTATTTTACTAACTTAGTGCCTTGTCTGCAGTATTCCTTCATCTATAATGGCCTTGTCAAGTGAATTCAGAATGCCGAAAAATTAGATAGTTATAAACATCCTCATGTACCATGAGATTTTCCCAAGTGCCAACTTAAAGAGTTGAACCGTGGAAGCAATTGGGTACCACAGCCTCCTTTGTAAATTCCATCCTTAATCATTACTTTTTTTGCTGTTAGGATTGTAGGGTTTTAGACTGTTGACAGATGTTTGTGTTGTGTGTATCCTGCTGCCATAATATTAGGGAAAGCAAAAACCTGGAGATAAAGCAAATACCAATACTTCCAAAAACAAGTTTTTTTAGTGTGTTTTATCCTTTCCTCTGCAGCACAACAAGAGTTCTCAGTGGTGTCAGGACCATTTTCTCAATTACAAAGGCCTTGTCAGAGCTACAACTGTGAGAGAACAATTGAAAAAACTCCTTGTCAGGTTCAAAGTACCAAAAAAGTCTAGTGAAGGTATGAACAAAAGAAGAGAATATGGTAATCTCTTTTCTATTAATTATTTCCAGAATTGCCAGCTTAATTATGAAAGTCTCCTTCACAACATTTGTAGAATTTACTATGAAGCATGATTTTTTTTTTAGCATCCATCCATTTAAAAACATTTCCATGATATGTAGTATATTTTTTTTCCAATATACAATTTGGTGGAAGTTTTTTAGGGTACCTAGTTTACTTATAAGTCATACTACATGTTGCGTTATTCTCAGTGTTACTGACACAAGCTAGTAATATTTACTAATGTGCAGGTGGTTAGTGTTGAATTGCATACCTGGAAGATCTGGTTCATGGCTGAACAATTCCATGTGGCAACATTAATTTATTATTATAATACCATGCCCTTCAGTTAAGATATCAAGGTAGCTAATGATAAAATCAGCCCAAACTGCAATGTCATATAATAGGAGCACCCTCTTCAACCTGCCTAGTCACTGAGGCTATTAGATGGGATGCTACTTAGTTGGAGTATACCTGGAGTAAAGCCTTCGGTATGGTGGGTGCCTTTCTGAGGAACTTCTTGCCTCTAGAGATCAGGTAGACATGAACATTGTGTTACTTTCTGTGCCTGCTGCAAACCCCCTAATTTCAATAAATCTTCAATTGACCAGCTAAGGCTTTTTTCTTTTTTTAATATTCTTTTCTTAAAAAAAGCTTTCAATATCGTGTTTTACTATTGTGTTTTTCTGTTGTTCACCACTCTGGAATCTGTCTAGATATGAAATGATATATAACTGTTGTAAATAAAATATAAATAGACTAAAAGTAATAAGATGGGGTGATAACTAATGGTTCCACCTGTTTTAGCTGGACGTAATGCTATTCAATCATTTACTGAACTTAAAGGGAATAAAACACCTATGTACCACTTAACAGACCAATTAAACAACTTTAAATACATCTATAGATCTGGTTTGCACTTAATTTTTGGTTTGTGGAATCATAGGCTGTTACATGTGAACTCAAAATTATGAGTTAACCTGGAACAATCCATGAAGAGACTCCGTGTTGGATTATGAACTGTGGATTGTTTAAATTGTGACTTGTTGTTAGGGACAGACTTAGAACTGTGAATTGTTAATGGTTTATTTTGCAAGGACACAAAGGTAGCATATAGGAGCAGTTTAAAAATCAGTCTGATTATGTGTCTCTAATGCAGTGCCATGAAGGCATTTGTGATACAGTGAGGGAGAAAGCAAAGGAAACAAACAGTACAGGAGATGAGGAAACAAATCATAACCTGTTGGATCATCTGCAAGACAAACCCTGGCTAGGGCAACAAACTATGGTTTAAATAAACCATGGTTTAGTCTGGTGAGAAGCAGTCCTATACTGAGTAAACAACTGACAGATGCAATTTACTATGAACTATGTGGGTTTTATAATTCATTTTCTTTCCCTGATAATTTGCCTTTGTTGACTAACAGCTTTGTGAAATAATTGGTCCACTACTTTTAGGGGATCCGGATCCTGTTCTAAGGTGTATAGTTTCTGGATTCTTTGCTAATGCAGCCAGATTTCACTCTACTGGAGCCTACAGGTAAACTAATAATAATAAGCCCCACAAATCAACACAACTTGCTTTGCTTAGCTCAGCCCAGTGATGATCACTATAGTGCAGGCCAAAGAATGATGGTAAAAGACAGTTATTGCCAGAATGGAAATGGAACAGAATTGATTTACATGGGTCAAAGTCGTTCTTGATGAACGAATCATAAGAAAATGAATAGGCATAAAAATAGTACTTTTATTCCAGATTCTGTTGTCCAGTATATGCTCACAGGGAATCTTATCTTTGCTTGAGGCAAATAGGCATTTTGCATCCTTGCTTAATCAAGCTACATCAGAGAGTAAAGAACTTTCAGCAGTCCACCAACTTTTTAGGGAAGTCTCCTTTCACCTAAAAAACCATCATACTAAATAAGGGGAAAAGGCAGGTACTCAAGGGAAAGAAATGGAAGCTGGGAAAGCATCGAATTGATCTTTGAGTAGCTGCTAATGCCTTTTTTTTGGAAGATTTTTCTTAACTACGGCTGATCATCAGGCTAATCATCAAAGAACAGTTGTCCTTTTTGCCACACACATATATCATCCCTATGCTGCCTTGGTCTGACAGAACCATTAGTTATAAATAAATCAATAAATAATCTGAAATAATGCTGTTCTTTCAAGGACTATTCGTGATGACCATGAACTTCATATCCACCCCACCTCAGTGCTGTATGCAGAGAAACCTCCTCGTTGGTATGTTGTTTTCATATGTGTGCTACGTTGCTTTTGATGCTCTATCATTTACAGTCATATCTCTCATAGTGTATCTGAGAGTTGGAGGTTTCAGAATACACACTTCCTAGAATGCATCTTATTTAGGTTAAAAATCATTAAACGGAATACTACTGGAAAGAACCAGGAGTTGTGAAAGCTAACATATGACAGCAAATCTAAATAGCTTTTTTTTAATGCTATTAAAACATTTAATGAATGTTGAACCGCAGAAGGGCCTCTTTGATACTACATTAGTCTTTATGGGAGTGCTTTTGTAAATGTTTCTGTGAATGTATACATGTGAAATTCAGAACTGGCCAACTGTTTGCTCCACTTTGGAATGGTCCGGTGAGCCCTAGCTAGTAGTACTGCATTTGCATTTTGATTGTGCTTCTTTGCTTTTCAAATTTTGAAAGTCCTCATATTTCTGGTGAATGGTCAGAGAAGAGTTTTTGTATTAGATAAATGTAACTGCTATTTATTTATCTCAGACTGCTTACCACCTTTTGTGACTTCAAACCTGTAAGCAAGTGCTAGCAACCCAACTCACAAGTTGTGTCATAAAGAGATAATGTGCAGCATGAAGAAGGATCTTCTGCCTTCTTCAAATTGTCAGTTTCCTTGACCAGTTACTTCTCAGAGATGAGAAAGTATAGTATATGACTTTTGAATACTCTGTTCCCCTTCACCTCTAGCTGTGTAGACAGGGATCTCATTCACACCATAAAATGGATTAGCCTACAATCAGCAAAGGCTCACTGGAGAAGGCAGTAATGCTAGGAAAGTAAAAGGCAGAAGACGAAGGGAAAGACCAAATATAGGGTGGATTGATTCCATAAAGGAAGCTACAGCCTTGAGTTTACAAGAACTGAGCAGGACTGTCAAGAGCAGGACATTTTCAGGAAATTCAGTCAGGGAAAGGCACTGTGAGGGACCTGATGGAATTTGAAAAGCTGATTACTCAACAAAAGGATTATTTGTTAGGATGGTTTTAAAAGCAGCTACTCCAATTTGATACTGAAACTCAAGCCAAAAAATGCATGATAATTTGGATGCAGAACCTTGGAGAAGAAATATCATTCAGCCAAAGGCAACTGTATGGAAGAAGAACATGAAATTTACAGCCAGTCTAAAACCCTAAAATTGTTTTGTTTTGTTTTTTGGGGTTTTTCTTTTTGGTAGTATGTAGATAAGATATAGAAAAATGCACAAGAATTATAACAGAACATGTTGGAAATGTGAAGTAGTAGATGGAACTTCCTACCATATGTGGTAGACTTGTGATAAAATAAAAACATTCTGGAAGCTAATACATGTGGAAATCCCCCCCCCCCCCAAAAAAAAAAAACCCCTTTCCTGTGACTGCTAAGAATATGCTTTTGAATATCATGCCAGAGACTTTCTCAAATAATATGTTAGAGTTATTTAAATTTATGACAACTGCAGCAAGAGTTACAATTGCTTTTAAATGGAAAACAACAGAATGCCCAACCATTGAATTTTAGAAAAATAAGTTGGATGTTGGCAAAATTAACTAATTATGTAAACAGAAGATGGATTGAAGAATTTAATGATAAATGGAAATTTTACTATATGCAGTTTAATACAGAACAAAATGAAGCTTGTAAAAATATTGTTGATGATTTATAACTGACTGAAAGTGATTGGCAAATTTATTGGCTTAGCAACCGATAATTATATTCGTATTTCCAACAAAGTACTGATTGACAGAAAGATAGAAATTTTATTTTATTTGGGCAGAGATTTGCTAGGTTATGAATCTGTTAGGTTTGTGTAAGATCCACTGGCATTCTTATTTCTCTCTTACATTTTTTCTCTTTTCTGTACTCTTTTTTTAAAGAATGCAATAAGATTTTTTTTTTAAAGAGCAGGACCTTTTGGAGGACATTCATTCATTGCCCTGTGTTGGAGACCAGTTGATAATACATAACAGTAACAAAGCTGCAGTCTGAGTACGGCATGTGTAGCTGCTGTTTTGAATAAATGATTTTTGATCAGAGAGACTGGGGGTTGTATGCTATGCAGGCCCATGCATCATGGTTCAGTCGAGGGCTAGGCACATACTTAAGCCTCAGTTAATGCTGCAATCTCTCACTAAGAGGGATCATATTCAAAATGGTGGCTGCATGTTTTCAGGCTAATCTTGGGTTACATAATCCACAATAAAACACTGTGTTGTGTGAATTGGCCTAGCGATTCAGTAATTAAGACTTGATGTCTATATTATGAGACCTTTCCAAATACCAAGTAGAAAGGTATTCAGATACTCCTAGCAGATGCTTTTTATAATGCACCTGTACCTTTTCTCGCTATATTTTTAGGGTCGTCTACAATGAAGTGATACAGACCTCAAAGTATTACATGCGAGACGTAACAGCGATTGAATCGGCTTGGCTACTGGAACTAGCCCCTCACTTTTACCAGCAAGGAACGGTACGGGCTCGGCATAGATTCCAAACGGTACCATTGCCGTATTGGCAGTTCTTGTTCTTCTGTGCTTTTATGTGCTTGCTGCATGTGCTTTGCATTAAGAGAATTTGATGAATTGTGTTAAGTTGTGCAGTTTATTGCTACTGTACTATGAATCTAAAGGTTGAGATTGCTTGGTTGTTGTTGGGGCTTTTTGCCGTTATGTAGATATCTGTTGAATTAACATTGAGCTTATAAAGCTGTATCTGATGGAGTTGGTAGGAAAAATGCAGCTACTTTCAGTCCTGGAGGTATCCTAGTCACTGAGAAGCCATGTTTAAGGCAGCCTGAGTTTATTTGAAGTAGTATAAATCCTTCATTATTTATACTTCAAACTTCTGTGCAACATGTTTTAAATTCATCTAGCATTTAGAACTTTTTATAGATAATTTTAATATAAGGTCATGCTTAAGGAATAACTGGCATCGTTGACTCTTCTCAATGAGTTTGGTGTGCCCATAATAACATTTTAGAGATCAAGAGCAGCTGTGGGATTATGCACCAAATGTCCTCCCCCTATCTCAACCATGATTTATTTTGGTTTTGTATTTTTGTACAAAAAGTATTATTATTATTTGTATTTTTATTATTCCTATTAATATGCACCTACAATAGCCCATACCTGGGCTCTCTGTGTGGCTTACAACTTTTAAAACAGCATAACATTCTAAAATCAATAGCAGAAAATCATTAACAATGTATCCAAAATATAAAAGCATAATTAACAAAATTAAAATATTACAATTTAAACTAAAATCAACTATGTACCAGGAATAGAGTCATTGAAAATCAAGTTGCCACTAAAATTCAATATTAAAATAGCTGGGGAAGGAATATGTTTCCACCTGGCACCAAAATTATAACAGCAGTGGACTAGACACACCTGTCTGGGGAGTCTATTCTCAGCAACCAATGAGAAGACCCTTCTTTTAGCCACTATCCCCCTCACCTTCCTGGGGAATGGCTACTTAAGAAGGACCTCTTCTCTTGATCTTAATAGACAGGTAGGAACATATGACAGTCTTTCAGGTATCCAGGAGCCAAGCTATTTAAGGCTTTGTATGTAAGTATAAGCACTTTAAATTGGGCCCAGATTGTCAAGAGAAAGGATAATAATGCTAGCCAACTTTAGGAAAGTCCCCATCAGGATTAGAAAGATAATTAATGGATAATGCTTTGAAAGTTTGAAGTGCACTATAAAAATATTGTGACCATGAAGCACAAATGGCTTAATTCTGCCTGTAGTAGCTCTGGCAGTAGGTAGAAGCTGCAGCATTTTACTGTAATGAAATCTTCTGAGTGTTGCAGAGTAGCCAAGGATAACTATTTGAGGTGATGGATTTATTGTTTCCAAAGGCTACCTTGAAAGAAAAACTTTGTATCAGTGCTACTGGCTCTAGGAGTAGCTGACTTTTAGGATGTATGTAAATACTGAATCAGGAAGCCCCATGATGATATGTCAGGCACAACACCCTGTGAAGAGGAAGAGCTATTAAGCCATTATAAAGTTTGAGGAATTTGAAATTGAAAACAGTATGTAATGTATGCATCCTGTCTATCATCACATCCTGTATGAGTTCCAGATACTTGTCAGGACTGGCAGGATTCCAGCAAAGCAATGATACGATAAAATAGCATTGGCCATGTGCCCGTTTTTGAATTCCTGGAGTTGCTCAGACCTTAGAATAAATGCATAGCATGTGCTGGTAACTGCAGAGAATTGCTACACTTTAAAAAGGAGAGTCATGTGCCAAATGAGGCAATACAGCAATTTTAGACCTATGTACCTTTATGTAAAATAAATAAATAAATAAATAAATAAATAAATGGATGTTCCACTTATCTGGTTCTAAGCCCAGAAATAGCCAGGTGCTGTCTTTTTTGGTATATTTAAATCCATGAACTGAAGTGATACATCTCTGGCTATTGGCTTGCTCACAAAGTTAAGGTTTATATATCCTTGTGATAAAGAAAAAAAGGAAGTAGCATACCACATAATTTTTAATTGTATGAATATATGTCATAAATTACCTAGTCCTTTTGTTAGTTCCACACTGAAAAGGGAATGAACAATTAATTACCTTTTTACTAGTCTGTTTCTTTATTTAAATCATGGATATGCTGCCTTTCAAGATATAAGTTTGCTTACAAGTAACATAAAATAATTTTTGTTGTTAGTTGCGAAGTCGCGTCTGACCCATCGCGACCCCATGGACAACATTTCTCCAGGTCTTCCTGTCCACCATCCCCCAGTGTCCACTTAAGCTCACGCCAACTGCTTCAGTGACTCCATCTAGCCACCTCATTCTCTGCCATCCCCTTCTTCTTTTGCCCTCAATTGTTCCCAGCATTAGGCTCTTCTCCAGGGAGTCCTTCCTTTTCATTTGATGGCCAAAGTATGTGAGTTTCATCTTCGGTATCTGGCCTTCTAAAGAGCAGTCAGGGTTGATCTCCTCTAGGAATGACCGGTTTGATCCCCTTGTGGTCCAAGGGACTTGCAGGAGTCTTCTCCAGCACCACAATTCAAAGGCCTCCATTTTTCATAAAATAATACAAATTCATTAAAAAAATTCTTTAGAAAGCTAATAAAAATCCTTTCCTCAGGACAGTTGGTGGTAAAAGGCTCTGGGACAGGGAGAAGTCAGCTGAAACCAGGAACAAGTTTCATCCTCACCTACCCTTCACTATTCTGGAATCCTTCCTGCAGCACAGTTGATGGCAGATGACATGGAACAGGGAGAGACCAACTGGAATAGGCCTTAAGGGCTTCCTCACCCACCTCTCCTTTTTTTGCGTTTTTGCTTTTAGTTTTTATATCCTCAGGTACTTTCTGCTGTGGTTATAGGGTCACTTCAGGAGTGATACCTGCTGGATTTCTTTTGAATTAAACATAAAATGAGCCCTGTTGGATCAGACCAAAGGCATATCCAGTGTCCTATTTCACATAGTGGATAACCATGTAACTCTGGGAAGTTCACAAGCAGGACATAAAGGCAATAGCCCTTGACCACTGGTTTTCTTTTCAGCAGTGGTAATTCAGTGGTAAGTTGCCTCTAAACCTAGATATAGTATATGCATATGACTTACCCTCCATGAATTTGTATGATCCCCTTTAAAACCATGTAAACTAGTGGCCATCAACTCATCTTGTGGCAGTGAATGCCAAAAATTAACTATAGGTTGTGTGGAAAACTACCTCCAGAAAGCATGAAGCAAATAAAGTGAACTCTGTATCCTTTGTGCTTATGAATAGACTTCTTTGGGAAAATGTCCAATGCATAGGTTAAAAAGCCTCTGAAGTCTAGTTCACGTGCACAGATGTACAGGCTGTACACATCAGCAGACAATGAGAGTGAGAATTCATGCTTGCTCGTTCAGCTCTGACAAGTATATAACTAGCTCCTCTGAGCAAGCAGGCTATCTTTGCACTTTCTATTTGCATATGAATCCATTGACTATGGATTCGTAAGTAAGACCTGTACCTGGAGGGATTTTATTTATGTATATTGGAGTTGCCTTTGCAACTCACAGGATGCAGAAAAAAAATAACATGTAAAATGTTATGGCATAATTCAGTATAATGTAAAAACATGAAAACATAAGCTGCTTTGGAAAAAATATTTTTCATGTGATGCTAAAAGTTCTAAAACTAGGATAGGAACTGTATTTAATGACAGAAAAGCATTCCGTATTGCCGGTTGCTAGCACAGTGTAGATGCCACTCTGTACATCCTCACATTTTAACACAATGAAAGGAATGCAGAGGAAAATCAGATGGTCTTAGATGAATAGGGAAGAATATAATGGGAGTAGCATTGTGTATGTGTGATACAGTATTCAACTGTTAAGAGCTTTAAGAATGAATCCCTTGAATTGAGCAGGGAAACAGTTCAGCAGCTAATGCAGTCACATTAAAGCTGGGGTAATATGGTCTAATTTTCTGTTCAAATAGAAATATGAGCACCTGGATTCCGTACTAGTGACTGAAGTTTCTGAGTCATCTTGAAAGGCAGCGCAGTACAGAATACATTATAGTAGTCTAAATAAAAAGTTACTGGGCAAAGTTAGTGTCATCAGCATTTGACATTCTACTCCAAGTAATCATACTGAAAGGATGCACATAGGTAGTAAAAAGCAAAGGGCACAAGGAACACTGATAGGTTCTACCACCAAATGAATACATTTCAAGCAGTCAAGTTGCTGTTGACCAAAGCTGCCTTATAGAGACTATCAGTCAGGAGCAGAGCCACTGCAATACAGTGCCTGCTGCTGATCTAGAACAGTTGGATGTTCAACTGTTCTCTAAAGCCTTTCAGCAAGCCCTGAAGGATCACACTCAGCCCATTAAATTCTAAATGCAAATCATCCTGAGAATCACCTGTGCAGTATCTATTCGGTATCCTGGCTTAAAACTGGAAGGACCCAGGTTTGGAACATTGTTTTCACATGCATCAGGACCACTGTTTACATTTTGAACACAGTACGCATACAATGACATGAAAGTTCAGTACTCCTATATGGGCTGTGTGTTAATCTGGCCTACACTTTTGAGTATTTTCTGCTTCCCATCCTGTAGTGTGTTCAGTAAATTGTGCTGCAGTGTCCATTGTGGCAGATCCCATCTTTTCGTCTGTTCTTCTATTCCCCATTCCAATTGCTAACCCTCTTATTTGCATCCTTTTGGAGGAACAAGAAGCTACCAAATATAAATTATGCAACTCTGTAATTCAACAGAAAATGATTTTATTTTTTTTTAATTCACAAGTGTACAAGCTGTGAAAGGAATTAACAGAATGAAAAGGGAAGGCTGCATATAAGCTATTCTGTGCACAGTTGCCAAGGTTCAATTACTGAGTTGTCAGCTTAAAAGCCACCAGTAAAGGGGGAAATAACATCAAAAGTAAATAAACCGAAAGTGTGTGTGTAGAAGGTGGGTGCGTAGATAGCATCTTCTCTTAATGATACAGTCATCTCAGTTTAATGTGTCGACAATGACAGTTCTCATCACCCTGCACCAATACTTTTCTGAGTCTCAAGCTATTCCTGAAAGGAGAGATACTAACTCCACTGCTGGAGTAGGGAAGTGTTGTTGTGGAGTTCACTGTGAAGTGTCAATTTGCCAAGTGAAAGATACACTTCTCTGTCCCTCTTGATGCACTTGCTCCTTTGACTTTCCCCCTTCAGCTTTTGTGCTTCTGTCTGATGCTGCTGGGTCCTTCTTTTCTCTTACTATTACCCCCTCCCCTAGTTCTCACAACTCTGTGCAGATTAGTCAGTAGATAACCTTGTCTTGTTACTACTCATCAGCTATAAGTATGTAATTGCAAAAGACCAACAATACGAATACTAATCACAATAATAAATTGTGACCCTACTGATCATTTTGAGGCACTAAAATAATTTAAGAAGTGGGGGAAACAAGTGGCCATCCTTCCAAAGCTATTGTTTTTGAAATGGCTGTTACTGGCAAGATTGCAAAAAGTGAATAGCATGGGCTTTTTTTTGCTGTTTCTGTGTGGTTCCATAGCCATGCCAGTTACCCATGATAAAATTGTTCAGGTGGGTTGCAGTGATACAACCTACTATGGGCAAGAACAATCCTAGAAGAAGCAGCTGGTTTTCAGGGTGGTTTGTTTATAGAAAATAAACCACTGTAGAAACCATACCATGTATGGATGGTGAGTTGTCATGTCATGCAGTCCAGGTCCTTTATAACCTCGTGTGCATGTATGTTGATCACATAACATGTGCCTCTAACTCCACAGTTATGCAAATGATTACTCAATTAATTGTCAAAAGTAATTGTTACAGGAATGGCCAATTACTTGTAATTATCATGCTCTATGACACCATAACTTCTTGTATTGAGGAGCTTCCCTCTGTGTATGACCAGAACTCTTGGCTGAGTCTTTTTAGTAAGTAGCTTAAGGAAGAAATCCTATGCATATTTAGACTGAAAAATGTCCTACGGTACTCAGTGTGTGTAAGCTGACAGGTTTGTCTGAAGAGATGATGGGAGTTGTAGTACTTCTGTCTAAACATGCAGAGGATTGCACATTTCTTCATGTTGATTAGAAGAAAGTTAAGGTAATAATAGAAGGGGAGAAGGGAGGTAATTCATAGATGCTTTTATCCATTATTAAGTAAATGTTTCGGTTTGGTACAGTATATACATAATATGACTTATGATATTGCCAAGATAGGACTTACAGATGCTCTAACATAAATCCAACAATTTAAATAACATGAAATAAAAGTTAATTATCTCATCAACAAGAATAACAATAAGTGTTAGTTCAAGTTCAGAAAGTAGACAGTGGACTGGATGGTAAATGCTCATATGGGAGGGATGTAACAGTGGGATCACATAGGGATTTTTAGTGGAACCACTGCTTTTCCATTTGTTTATAAAATGATCTAGAATTAGGAGTTACTGCTGACATAGCCAAGATGCTAGGGTAGTAAAAACACAAAGGAGCTGTATTCTAAGCAGATCTCTCCAAACTGGAAGAATGGACATTACAAGGGCAACTGTGGTTCAGTTTAAGTGAAAACTCCCAACTTCGTTTTAGTTGTTCCTGTGCCATTCCAGTAGCATAAACCCTTTCCCAAGTGATTTTGGGCGCAGTAGCAACATTTTACCAATGGGACAGGTCTTAGTTACAAGTTGCAGAAAATGCAATATGCCTGAACCATATACAATATTCAATTAACAGATAAACTTTTTTTAAAAAAATGCAGTGTTCTGTAAAAATTCACCTGTTGCTGTACAGGAAAATGATTGTGTTTTTGGAGTATTTCAAAATGAAATTTTAGTTAGTCTAGAGTAAAAAAAAACTTGGTAGCTTGGAAACTGATTAATTGAGATTAGAAGAGTTGCTTCATCGAAACATTTATGAAACTGCAAAATCAAACATGGTGCTTCTCTTTCATTGCAGCATCTTTCTCTGAAAACCAAAAGAGCCAAAGTAGATGACCACTGATTTGCCATGGCTGTTGAACTTCGCAGTGTGTGATGCTGAACCGGCTGCCGATTTGAAACAACTACTCTCCATCTAACAATTAGTTGATTAGCAACCTCACCCCACATCAACTATACATGTTGAAATGCCTGCTTGGCAGGATTCTGTAGGGATTTATGCATGACCAATACATTGTAACACTTTAGTAGAGCTTGCTTTGTGGACATTTTATCCAGCAGTCTAACTGTGATGACCACCCTTGTTTACTAGGCCATTTACTTCTTTTAAATTCAGTAGAAAAAGTAACAATACTAAATGAGAAATTTTGCAAGGTGTGAATAGTTACATTGACCTTTGCAATAGAGAGGGAAAGGGGGAAGATGCAGTGTCCTCAGAGAGAGGAAGTAGAGCTCAGGATCCTTTAGACCACTGTGAAAGCTGTTGGCCATTCTGGACCTACCTGCAACTTGTAGGCAGATTCAAGACCACAAGCAAAGCCTTAATGGATTGCATTGAAAACCTTCAAAACTGTGATTGTGCCTAACTGCTGTGATGTTATTCTTCTCTCTTTCTCTCTCTCTGCTATGAAGCAATAGATTTTGAGCTTTTTACCAACTGTCCCCTGATTTTCATCCGCCTTGCATTTTTAAAATATAATAGGTCTGTTTTTCAAATGAACCCATTTCTATAAATATAAAATGTGTTGACTCACACCAAGATTTTCACTAAGGCTAAGCTCTTCTAGGAAGGAGGTATAGGGCAGGATGTGCATCCTGTTCACAGTCTTTAATTACTTGGGTTTCCTTTCAGAAAAAGAAATAAGGAACTTGGGGTCAGTATTTGGTTTTAGTGTTTTGTTATTGTGAATCCTGAAAATCCTCTGTACTGGGTCTATGGCCTTGCAAAGTGTTTCTGTGGTATGAGATTCATGATCACCACTGGTAAGTCAGTTATCAATCAGATGGTGCTGACTATATATCAGGGAGGAGAAAGAGGGCCGGGGGCAGGGTGACCATCTATGAGAGAGTTCTCTTTTCTTCTGATGGAGGGTGAAAAAGTTAAAGGAGTCCTCCAATCTGGGAAGCAGGAAAGCTGCCCTCTGTAAGGGCATTAAGCCCCTTTGGCTCTTAAAATCTTCCATGTTATTCCAGACAAAAAAGCATTCCTTAACCTGGTGCTGATGCTTTGTGATGCATGCCAATGAGAATTAGTTCATTTCAGGGGTTCATTTCCCTGTATGTAACATAGAAATGGCTTACTTTCAAAATGCTCTTGTGTGATTTAAACTGTTGGTGTTGTTTTTTAATCTTATTCCGGGTCCCCACTTGGGGGCCTAGAGGGAAAACTTGTACTATGTAGGAAAATGGGCCCCTGGATAGGGTCCTAGTGGGCCCTGCTGGAACTTCTACTAAGGCAATAGGAGGATGTTGTCTCACCCAGGAGCTAAAGCCAACTGATACCTTGTGTAGGCTGTCACGGAGTCAGCTCTGCCACTACTGGAAGAGCTGACTAGACTGTTAAAGGACCCTCTCCAATTGTGTAATCTGAGACCTCTGCAAGGCTGAAGGATAAAGGTTCTGCTTATAACATATCCTCTGTCCCAGAGGATGATGGCAGGGCCTTCGGCCAGGAGGACCCTGAACAAGGCATTGATTGTCCTGTCCCCAAGGACGTAGCATGTCCCTTATCAGAATGTACCACTGCACATTGGTGGACTGGAGGGCTAGGGGCATGAGGCTCTTGGTCAAAGTGTGTTTCCATGATCCTGGAAAACACATCTATATGCTTCCCTGTTCACTTTTACTGAACCATTGTAATCTTTACAACTATACTGAGACTGCCTTCCTCAAAGGCAAATGGTGGTCAATGTAGCATGCACTGATAATCTTGCATTGGCTCTCTTTCTCCTGAAAATCTCTCCCTTGTATCAGTGTTATAGTTTGGGATAAATATATATTTATTTTCAAATAATTTTTATTTCAGGAGGATGTATTTTGATTGTATGGATCTGTCTTTGTTTTTAGAGCATTGCTTTTGCTTAATGCCTTGTTCTCTTCACTGTTTTTAAATGTATGTAAACAAGGGCTTTTTTTATTTTACACAAAATAAGCATTTTCTTTGCTCTGGTTTTGTATCCTAAGTCACTTTTTCAAATCTTCCTTGCTTTCCTCAAATCTATAGATAAGTTTTTTCCTGTCAGTGTGTGGTCCTCCCAGTGCTGTATAAATCACCAGTTTAACAACATTTCATTTACAACTCTGAATTTTTGAGTCAACCATTTCTCCCTCTTCTCTTTCTCTCAGTGTGTGAGCTCTGTAGAGCTGGGGTTGTCTTTATTCTTGTGTACTCTGTAGTGTCCAGAATGCTGGTGACGCTCCATAATGGACATCTGACTTACTTCCAAAGCTGTGTTGTTCCTTTAAAGGAGCTTTATCCTGGATAAAGTGTGTAAAAGTCTGTGTTGTTTTGTCCTCTGGTAATTCACTTAAGGGAGGGAGGGGAATAAAGTTGTGGTATAAAGAACTTTGGAAATGTGTGCCTATTTATGGAAGTTAAGTATAAGCATAATTTATCAAGACCATATTTTATTGCTGGTTGGTAAGCAAGTATTTGTTTTGATGAATAGTCCTGTGTAAAGCAAAATCTTGCTCCATGGAAAATTAGAAGTGGCCATTCTGAACAAGGCTCCCAAAAGAGGCCATTCTAAATTATGCAAAACCTGATGCATTTTGTGTTATTCATTCACTAGTAATGCAGTGCATTGCCCTTACTGTAATCATCCTATATTTATTAACGTATTTTATACACCCACCTTTCTGCTCTAACAGAGTGACTGTCAGGGCAGGGATTTTTCTTTCTTCGAGGAGAAAAATTCTTCTAACAGTTTTGATCTTTACTTGTGTGCCATGTTCTCATCCCCTCTATTATGGAATTTGGGGCAATATCCACTGATCCTAAATATTTTGGACCTTTGTAAGCAGGATTAAACAAAAAATACATGGTAACAACAATGAAAAGGATAAATAGTGTTCCATAGACAGCATTGAATAAGTAGAACTAGAGCTTAGAGTTCCTTTCTAGGGAGGGTACCGATGGTCCTAGCGTTGTAGAGATCAAGGGCCTCTGTTTTGTTTGCACATCTATCAACTTATTTTCCTGTCTCATGCTCATCCTGTGGGTTGCCAGTGCCCCTTCTAGGTGGCCATAGACCAGGGACAAGAGGCCTTAAAGTCTGGATTTATTTTCAGAGAAGTTCTTGGGTGTCATAGTCAAGTGTGAGTGGGGCTGAAGCAAAGGAGGAAGAATCAAAGGAAGAAGGTGGGCAAAGTACAACATACATTTATAATTTTGGGTTAATTTCAGGTCAATAATGAAACCTTAGAATTCTAGAATGGGGAAAAAACCAGAAATAGGAAGCTCCTAAAGGGTTGGTATTAGAGGAAAGTGGGAGAGGCCATGGGAAAGGGGCATCACTATAGGGAACCCCAGAAGTCCGGATGTGACTCCTGCCCTCCCCGGGAGGGTCAGGCCAGGCTAGGCTGAAATTGGCTCCTAGCGCTTGGGTTGCCTTCATCATATACCATAGTTGCGGGAAGTGAAGAGAGGAATGCCTCACATCTGACTTCATGGGTCAGTTGGAGTCAACCACCATGCTCCATTGACTGTTTTCAAGCCACTCCCTGGCTTCTTGGGGCAGAGATTTTTTTCCCACTCAACCAGGAGGAAGGTCCCTGTTCCAGCACGCTCCAAGCTCCAACTCATTCCTCACTGGCAGGTGTGCCTGTCTCTGTGCCCATGACTGTTAACTGCCCATTGAGGTAAGGCTTCTTTCCATTACAAGCTATCCAGGTTCTCTGTCAGTTTTCCTCCTCCCATTCTTTGCACTCTTTCTACATTCTGTGTGGTCCACAATTCACTTGGCTCTTCCAGAATTGTTTTCTGGTGTTTTCTTCTCTCTCCTCACCTGCTTTATATTGATTTATATCCCACATTTTTTTCTTTTTTAAAGAACTCAAAGTGGCTTATATCTTTCTCTTCCTCCTGCTCCCAGTCTTCTCTCCACAACAACCCTGCATGATAAGCTGGGCTGAGAGTCAGCCAGTTGGCTTCATGGCTGAGTGGAACCAGCCTGCCTTCAGAACCAGCACACATGGGCCCCATCTACAGCCAGCTTATTTTGGGGCTGGTGTAGCAACTCCAGGCAGCCATCCACATAAGTTGTTTTGAGGGGAAATTAGGGTCCTTTATGCTTTTTGACCCATTGAATCCAAATATTTTTACCTAAGCAGTCCACTTCTGCATTTATCCTAAAACCAAGAGTGGTTACAAGCAACTATGTAACTGCTGATGCCAGCTCCTTAAACTTAACCTTGGAGCCAAACTGTCTAGCCAATATTGGAATTGTGAAGGGAAGCTGATCTTAAGGCCTAACATCCCAAAAGTTTTGTGACATCTATGTTAAAAAAATTCAAAATGGTAGCCAACTGAAACTTCCTTGGGCAGCAACACAAAATCTACAAAATGTGTTATGATATCAGATGTGTCAGTCAAAGAGTGTTAAATGTCACATAGTTTGATGTATAAATGAGTCTTCTGTGACAAAGTAATGCTTTTGTTTGTATGTAAGCTGTCCCGAGACTATGCAAAGAATGGGATAGAAATGTTTTAAATAAATAATATCTACTGTTGCAATATTAAATTGTAGATTGTAGATATAGTGGAGGCCGAATAATAGTATTTCATTAAAATGTTATGGAAGTCAAACATCTGTTTATTTTTCTAATGCTTTGATGGAATATAAACTGGCAAAAAGTAAAGAGGGCTATTATGGGTGCTTAGATACATTGAGAGAACACACCACAAAAAAGAGAACTATGCTTCAAAAGGGAACTTTTAAACTACAGTATCTTAACCATTTCTTTGTCAAATTTGGACTCCATATGGCTCTCTCTGTGCAAGATTTTATGAAGCTGGGGCACACAGTCCTTTTGAAGGCACTACAAACATTTTCCTACTCAATGAGATCAGAGTCGTGACATGTAGCCCTTTCTCCATTGTTGTACATGTTGAACATCCAACCCCTCCCTAGTATATCTAGTAACAACATCTGAGAAAGGGAATTCTATATATGTGCTGTTGTAAACATGTAGCCTACCCTCCAGGGTTCCAGATCAAATGGTAGGGACTCACTTGCAGATAGCTCAGCTCAGCCATTTATTCAAATTGATGCAGCCAAGAAATAAAAAGACTGAAACTTGGAAGGCAACCAGGAAGAAACTAGAAAAAATCAAGTGTAAGGGTGGAGACCAACGTCAAGATAATCCAAACTATATCTTGCTTTACTCTTACAAGCCAGATAATCTTTGCTGGAGTGAATTAGGCTCTCCAGATTTAATCTCTGATTTTACAAGATCCAGTTACTGACTGGCTAACATAATCTAAGGACAGGGACAGGGGTTTTAGGTTGGTTTTAGGACCAGATGTAGTAGGCAGGTCATATGGGGATTTCAACTTTCACTTGGTGCCCTAGTGAGCTGTGTGGTTGGAAGCAGTAGACGAATAGTTGCCTAAACAGAGCTTGTAGCCGAGTGGCATCCCCTCTGCCCCCATCCTTAACAAAAGGGACCCACAACCCCTTCTGTAAATGCTTGGTACAGACAGCTGTCTGCTCAGAGTTGGCTTTTCATGGTAACTAGAACACAGATCAGGGATGTAAAATCCCAATCTGGGCCTCGGGGCTCTTCAAAAGACGATGTCCCCTTGACCCCACACTCCTTTCCTAACCACCAATTATTTGTTGATTTCTCAGCTTTTGTGCAGGCTGAAATGCCTCCCCGAAGGCTCAGGTACACGCAGGCAGACCTTTAACCCAAACATGCTGGAATGTGGGGGTGGCTCCCCCTTCTGCCTACAGCTCAGTTCACCACCGGTACAGAGATCGTCTTGCAACCCAAATTTGGCAGTTGGAGGCTTGGAATTCCTGATGTGAATTAAAGGAAGCAAGAGATTTCATAAAAGCTCAGGAAGGCTTTTTATCATAAAAGAAATGGATTGTGAAATGTGCCAAAAGGAGCTCCGACTTTAAAAGAATTAATTAGAAATGTGATGTCAGCACTTTCGTAGCACGAAACCTAGAAAATACTGCTTGTGTTATAGGAGGGCTCTTAGCCAAGAAGTGAGACCTGAGCCGGGAGGAGGGGGCTCTCGCATGGTACAGCGAAGTGACCGTCAACTGCGGCCAGTATTACATACAGAGCACTGATGGCTGCAGCAGGTCTGAATGCTAATAGAGGAGCTGGAGCTGTATAAAACAGTGGAGCTGACAGGTACTGTTAACCATCCATTTAGTGTGAATAGCTGGAGAAGCTCTTCACTGCTCCCAGGGGAAGGGGTTGTTGGAAAGAGGGGGAGATGTATCTCAGAGTTAAGCAGCACAAGGCAAGAGTTGGCGATAGAGGACAAGGGGAGGAGCTGGATCTAGTTATGGATTTCACTTGGGAATGTTGCCCAATTCTTGGAAAGTGGATCTTGCTCCTTTAATCCGTTGTAGGGCACTGGGAAATAACCTGAAAAAAATAATTATTGTTGATTAGAAAGCTCTCTGTGAAGGGGATTTACTTCAAGTTTAAACTTGTGGCTCTAGGAACATCAGGATTTTAAATGATTGGAAGACCTCATGGATATCAGTTATACTGCATAGTGAACTTGGAATGCTGATTGTCCATTGTGGAGGGGAGGGGAGGGGAGGGGGACTGGACTGGACTGGACTGGACTGGAATGGAATGGAGGGCATTGCTGGCTGGCAGAACAGGAGAATTCGACATCACATTTTGTTGCAGGTCCTGCTCGTAGCATTTCTAATACTGGGTAGACAGCCTGATGTAGATGGCCATGTAATGTTGCCATGCCATTCTATGGCATGGTCCTTGTGCTTCCCACAGGCATTTGTTTGGCCACTGTGTGAATGGAATGCTGGACTGAATGGATCCTTGGTGTGATCCAGCTTGGTGGGTCTTCTGTTCTAAAGCCAAGATTGAAGTTTATCAGGTGCATACATTGTGCAGTACCTGAGTTTAGTCATCAGCTGTGATGACCTGCTTGTGAATCACCATGTGACTCCGGTGGCGGGAGGAATTTTGTCATGTGAGGAGTGGCCTACAGTCATATGGCATCCAACTGCCACACTTGTTCATATGAGCCACTATGCCACACCATTTTTGATAAAAAAGCAAGAATCAGGTTGAGAGTCTTCTGGTCTATACAGAAGGCTGACCACTGGCGAAGCCCTTACCAATGTTTATGTTCACATATTAATGCAGTTATTATGGATGCCGGTCTGTCTAACATTAGGATCTCAGCAAACAGTGGCCTGAGCAGGTGTGTTTCTTATACCTAAGATTTATGATGAGACCACTTTTGTATCTGCTCTTGTATTGCCATTCAGCCATCAGGATTTTCCTTCTTGGGGTGGTATAAGGAAAGACTGGTTGGGTTGGTCAGGAGAATGCGGAAGCCTAAATTTA